ATTTTAGGTATGCTTGGTGTTTTCTCCTTGATATATGTATTGATAAGTTATGTTTTAATAACTTTTGTCCGCATTCACATTCTATTTCTTCTTTCATATTGTTATACCATCTTTTATTCATTTCTTTCACTTCTTCTTTATGTTCTTCTCTATATTTTTTACACTGTATTGAGTTTTTCTCCTTCCCTCCTTGATTATGATATTTGTCTTTCTTTGCTTCATTAATTTCATCCTTTTTTAACCAGTATCTTTCTCTTGCTTTTTCTTTCATTTTTTCACTAAACTTTTCATATTTTTGTTTGTCAAATTCTTTATATTTATCTGGGTTGTTCTTTCTATCTTCTCTTTTCCATTCATTATATTTTTCTGACTTTTCTAATCTTTCTTCATCTGTTAGATATGGATTTAATTGGTTCAATGTTGCTTTTAGTTGCTCTTTGTATTGTCTTTCTTTACTCAATGCTTCCAAACGATTTTCACACTGTTCAGTATTAATTAATATCATTTCAAAATTAGTGAAACCTCCATTATCACGAATAAATTTATATACATACTGATGGTAGTTTTTGTTGAGTGGATTTATACTATTGTTTTTATGAGTGCATTTCCTTTTTGTAAAGTTTAGGGTATGTCCGACATAGCAATCTTTAATACTTAAATCTTTACAAGCAATTTTATAGAAATGAGTATTAGAATAGTCCATTACCTTTTTAGGCATTATATAAGATTATATAAGATTATATCTTTAAATATTAATTAGGTATCATCCTCTGGTTTAAGTTTTTATAAAACATTTCTTTTTTATCCGACTGCATTAAATCTACATACATAAAGCCGTGTTTCTCATCAGTTGCTGTGTGATATAACTGTAATAATGTTTGTTTATCATATAAGGCACTGAGCTCATCGATTATGGAATCCAAGTCTTTTTGATTTCTTAATCTAAATACATATAATTGTGTAGCATTTTTTCGAACAACTGGATTTAATAAAGTGTATGACTGACACGTTATATATGTTGATATGAAATAATGACGTCCCTTCACGAATAATCGAATCAGTTCCTTATTCTTACGGGCGACATCTTTGTTATCACTGAAGTCATCAATAATAATAGCAATATTATATATTTTTGAAAAATCATTGTCTTTCATATATTTAACTATTTTTTCTTGAGTATCTATAATATGTTTCATTTGTTCTTCATTAAATGTATCAAAATATATAGGGTCTTCTTCTGTATGATTTATTTTTAATTTATTTTTGATATAGTCTTTGACACTATCCCAGTTATTATCTAAATGTATTGTTGGACTAAAAATAAATATTTTTTCAAAATTATCGCGGTATATATCTAATAATAAATTCGTTAAGACTACCGTTTTGCCAACCCCCGATGGTGCAGCCAATATCTGACGTGCTGGTAGTTTTCCTACATGATCGTATTTTGATTGCTTACTAATGTATTCTTTGGTTTTATATGGTTTAATATCAATCATTAAATAATATTAAAGATATTTAGAAAATTATATTTAGAAAATTAAAATATAATTAATATTATGGAACATCTTTTTTTTATGATATGCTAGCCGCGAATATTGTAAAAAAATGGAACAGGTTTTCCATCAACTTTAATCATAAGCATTGAAGATAATTAGTTTGAATTAGCTTGAACCTCGCTTGTGTTGTCCAGTCCGAAGAAACCCCATTGCTGAGCCCCGAATATTCTAATAATAAGATTAATTTATAATAATTTATCTTATTATTTTATATGGATAGGACTTATTCAGATTATATTGATATAATAGATGAAGTTGAGAAAATAGAACAAGTTGTAATAACTGATAATAAAACTAAAAAATGTTGTTATTATTCGTTAGAATTAATTAAGTTAGGATTTCAATATATCAAAAATAAAAATGTAAATATTAATATAAATGGGAAGAAAGAAAAACAAAAAGAATAAGACAGAAACAACGGTTTCATCAACAGATGAAGACAGTGAAGAAGTTATTAATAAAACAGCAGTTATTGAGTTTGCTTGTCCAATGTGTAAAAAGATGTTAGAATTAAAAAATGAATTACAAATAGAAAAGAAAGGAAACTGTAAATGCTCATGTGTCCCAATCAGTTTTAAAGTTAGTAAAACGGATAAAAAAATGAATATTGATAAAAGTAAAGACGGTGATATCAATTTAGAAACTGATGCACATAATATTACATTTAAATGGGGAAGGCAAGCAACACCATCCGATAATAATAATGAAAACGAAACACTGGAAACTGTTAAGCAAATGATGAAACAATAATATATAAAGAGTAGATTTAACACCACGTTAAACGCATAAATAAATAAATAAATAAATAAATAAATAAATATATATAAATATATATGTCAGATAGTGATAATGTGTCATTAAGTGAGTTGATAAAGAAGGTAAATATGTTGAATAAGAATATCAAGGCATTAACAGATTTAACAACAGCAATTGATGAAAAGTTTCAAGCCAACATAGCAGATAATGTTGATGAGAAGGACGCTTCGGCAGAAGCCTCGCGAGCTAATCGCGACAAGATTGATAAGATTTTTGAAAGCCGTGGGCTGGGCAGACCGAAGGGCGACCATCAAACAAAAAGACAATCCTATTTTGAAATGGTGTCCAAAGGGCGTATTAAGCAACCAAGAGAACAAACATTAGAATACTATAAAATCACAAAAGATGAAGACGGTAAATATATTTTGTTAGACACTTAAAGACGAAATGATGAATAATTAAAATCTAAATAACTGTAATAAATCAATTTATTAGAGTTATTTACTGGTACAATTATTATAATCTAAATTTACAATTTATATTATAATAATTCTAACGCTAAATAATTGTAAGTAAATGAATTTACTTGAATTATTTAGCGGAACCAAGTGGAAAGCGGGTAGAATGGGGTGAGAATTTTGTAAAGCATAGACAGGAAGAACTTTATAAAGTGCCTAGTGAGTTGATTTGTGAAATCTTAATGAGTTTGGATTGAAAATCCATTTAGATTACAGCAGTTATGTTTTTCTTTACCGCAGTTATGTTTTTGCTTACCGCAGCTATGTTTCAAGTGCTTCTGTCAATGTTGCCAGTTGCTTCTGTCAATGTTGCCAGTTGCTTCTGTCAATGTTGCCAGTTGCTTCTGTCAATGTTGCCAGTTGCTTCTGTCAATGTTGTCGGTGTCTGTTTTGGAATGTTCTATGTTCTGTTCCTTGTTTGGTTTTTGGTTATGTTTCTTTGTTGTTGGGGGTTTTTGAATAAGGGGATAGGTTTGATTTATCAAACCTCTTAGGCAACTTCGTTGCCTGAACCTTCAACCTATCTGAGTAAAAAGGGTTTAAAGGGTTGTTGGTATAGTGTAGTAGAGGTTATGGAAAAGAAATATTGCTCTAGTTGTCAAAGAGATAAGGATGTGAACTTATTCACTGAACCCTATAAACGTTGTGATAAGTGCCGTGAAAAGGACAAAAGGAAAAGCCAAGTTGTGTATCATTGCGATGTGTGTAATTGTGATATAAAAAGGACACATAAACCAAAGCACGAACGGACTTACAGGCACAAAGAAAATATAGAAAAGAATGAGGTTAAAGATGTTTGAAATGGTTTAAGTTATTCATCAAAATGGATAACTCAAAGCATTTGGCGAGCGGATAGGAATTTCAAGAATTTATGTATGAACTTTTATGTTAGATTTGGGGGGCGCTTTTAAAATGTGCTGAAAACCCTAGGGTAGTATACACATTTTGAGGTTGGTTGAAGGCCATCCCTAGGCTGGTAGAGGTTGGGGTTCCATTTATCATCCACCTTGTAGCAAGGATCCTCAGCCATTACAATGATTGTACGAAGAGAACCATAACCATAGGCCATATATTATATGATTTTTGTGACCACGGCACAAGCTGGACGTCAGCCCATTTTGCCACTCAGGGACTTCCCCCAACGGATCCCCGGATTAAGCAGAATCCCCATCGCGGGTGTCCGTCCCCATTTATCACTTTGGACGGGACCCCGCCCTTTTACTAGGTCCCCCAGTAATTAGTGCCCTTTTTCAGTTTCTTTTGGGGGGAGGGTTCCCCTACTAAAATATATAGACAAGAAAGATAAAAGGTGGGTACCCTAACCTCTAACCTCTCAAATCTGGAGCACCTAGTTGGTTCATCCATCCTTTTTTCCCAAAAAGGTGTTCAACGGGAAGGCGGTGTCCGTCCCCATTTCTCACTTTGGACGGGACGCCCTTTTGGAGGTGGAAGCCAATGACCTGAAGGCCAGCCAATATTCACCCCAGCGAATCCCCGGAGTTTATCCTTAAGCACACCCTAGCATAGTCACTCCCTGAGCGGTCAATATCTGATACCCCCCAAGGCAACATGACAACCCGCCAGAAAGATCGAGTTCTCCCCAGAAAAAGGAAAGAAAGACACGCGCGGTGGCATTCAGATGTGAAACTGCTCCGTTTTCTCAGCGAAATTTGGGATCTGAGGGTCATTTTTGTCGAGATGTGTTTGGTTCCAGGATTTGTGTTGTGGCTGGCCTTTTGGCTTTTGCGGTGCTGGGCAAGTCTTCATGGCTTTTGGTGGCTTTTGGTGGCTTTCGTGGCTTTGTCTTTCGCAGCTTAAACAAACCCGCTCTGAACCAGCAATAGACAGCGCTAAGCCAACTCTAGACCTACCGTGAAACAACCCTAATCACTCCAAAACCACCTCTAAGCCAATCCCAAAACCAACCTTAAACCAACCTTAAACCCGCACTAAACAAGCACTAAACCATCCCCAATCGACCTTAAACCAACCCTTCACAAGCCCTTTGCCAACCAATCCTAAACCCATCCTAAACCAGCACTAAGCCCAAACCAACCTCACCCCAAACCAGCAGAATGGTCCCCCGAACGTCCAACGGTTCCATGTGAGAAGGGTGGGAGGGTGTATCTTCGGCTCCGGTTTCGAGCACCGGCTTTAGCCAGCTGAGGCTACTTCTGCAGCCGGTTGGGCGGGCGCCTCAAAGTGCGGGAGGATGTTTGCGTTTCTCAAAATCAGCATTTGGCGACCTTTTTCGTGTTTTCAAGAACATCTAAAAGGAGAAGCGCCATTTTGAAGGATTCCCTAAGAAAAGACACACCCAAATAGAGGACCCCTACAAATGAGTTGTTCCTTCTCGGCTTCCTTTTCAAACCCATTGCGGGGACCCCCGCAATCAGGACGGAATTTGAGAGAAGCCAATAAGCGGTACGGGTGGGACCAGGGCTGGAGTGTTTTCGGGGCCCAATCAAGTCGACCCAGCAAATTACCCGTCCCAACAGCGGTGCTCAATGACACCATTAGATTAGGTACCCCACCCGAACCCGAACCCGAACCCGAAACAACCCCCCTCCCCCCAAAAAAAGGAGCCCGAGCCCGAACCCGAGCCCGAACCCGAGCCCGAACCCGAACCCGAGCCCGAACCCACCACGAAAAGGCCCCGCCCGAACCCCAACCCGACCGCGACCCACCCCGAACCCGAACCCGAACCCGAAACCCCCTTTTCCCCCCCCCTCTCCAAGAAAAGAGCCCGACGCCGACCTGTCCTTTGCTTTTGACAGTACTACAAGGGCTGCAATCCGGGTGCGAGCGAGGCAATTCCTTGAAATCCCAAGTCAAGCCATCATCAGAAGAGATGTGGGTAGTTTTGAAGCCCCGTATACCAATCTCTCGTCCAAAGGGGATTCGGGACAAAGATCACCAACAGCCACAGCCTTTTGGGCAATTCGCTTGACAGGTTTGCGGCGGGTTGGCAGGTCTGGGACGGAACAGTTCATGATATTAACCTCGAACAAACAACTCGTTGTGTCGGAGAGGATGCATTGGGCCTCGGACGAATTTGATCCAAAACCAGGATCTAAGAAACATGTTCTGGCGGGTAGGGCGGCCACCAAAAATCTTTTGGCTGATTTTGAGCGGGTATCCCCTGTGTGCAGACACGTCGGGAATCCGGGTGACCAGCCTGGAAAAGCACAGACAAGCCTGCCCTTTAAGGATCAAGTGCCCAAGCTCGGGTGCCTTTTTATCGTGGCCTATTGGTGTTCTGGACCAGGATCCTGAGAAACTCTGCAAATGTTGGGTTCTGTTTTGGTCCCCTTGTTCAAACTGAAAGGGGCACCAACTCAAACACACGGAGACACACTGGAAAAGGGCCAGTTGTTTTCCTGATGATACTGATGATAGGGAACTGTGTCCCGCAGCCCCCTCCACCAAGAACAGAAAAGGCAAACAACTAAACACTCCACACCATATTCCTTTGAATGGGTTCTTCACCCATGAGGTAAGCCTCGCGCCCCTCAATCCCCCAATCCCCAAAATCAGGTTCCAAATCAACTCCCAGTGAGTTTCAATGAGTTTATTTCCCAACAGCACACCTATGGGGTTAAAGGAACACCGGCAAACCACCATTCGGCATTTGGGGGGGGGCATCTCGACAAAACCATGTACCCACTATAACCAGAGTTCTTACCAGGTTTCACATCATGGTTTCCCTAGGTTACTTACTATGCAGGCGAAACGCTTGGAAGCAGTGGATTGGTTTTGGTTTCGTTTCCCTGTAAAACAACCAGACAAACGGGCACCCTCAAACAAAGGAAGCCCTCCCACCCCAATTTGGTTTGGGGTCCCTTGCTTTTCACTCTAACCAAAGTTTTCTCACCAGAATTTACATCATGGTTTCCCATGGTCACCTAGCGCTGGGTTTTCTTTCGAGTTTGATTTTCCAGGTGAAGAAGCTGTCCAGCTACCAGCCGCCTTGGCCGAAGCAGCTCACGGACTTCGTGGTGGTGGTCTTGCCCAACGTCAAGCGCCGCGACCAGCGCCTTCGACGCGTCTAAGGAGAGCCACCTCCTGCAAACCCGGGGGTAGGTGGGGTGGGGGGGGTAGGTGAAGTGGGGTGGGTGGGGGAGGGTCAAACCCAACCTTGAAAAAAACTGGTGCAGTCGCATTCTTTTCTGACTCCAGGGGCGTGGTTTTGGGCAGACCAGTTCAATACCAGGGTATGATTGTGGGGTTTACTGATGGCGGCTTCGGTTTCCAAAGAGTACCTTTGGAGAACTGGAAAGTTGGTACACTCTGCAAAAAAAAACATATTGAACATCAATAGACTAAATATATGAGTTACAGAGCTTCAGATAATATGTCTGATATTTTGTTCTGTGCACCCTTTTTGTGATTGCCATGTTAGGTTTGACTGACGAAATGTGAAACGGTTGAAAGTCGTCGTTTTGGGGTTCGGCGGTTCGATCTTTAGGCAAGCCCTTACCGGAACCCAGATTAATCTAGTCATGCTGCTTTGAAGTTCCAGTTTATTCAAGTCTCCCAGATGCTTTCGACCCATTGGTATCCTTTGGGTTGGTTAGTTTGGGTCAGACATAGATGGATTAGATGGTGCTGATTGGCCATCATTTTGCGAACAGGACGCCAATGTTTCGACCCCGTACCCCTTGTCCCTTGTTGTTTGCGGGTTGTGGTGGTTCGGGGGAAAGAATTGGATTGCCTTCCGCTTGGTGCGAGGCAGTACCTACACCCGCCAGCATCGACCAAGCTAACCTCCTAAACCCCGAGGCCCACCTTGAACCAACCCTTATATTAAAAAAACAAACTCGGGTGATATCCCCAACAGCATGCGGTGCTCTTTTTCGTGCTTGCACCCTCGCAGAACCTCGTGGAACCCTGGTGGAACGCTGGTGGAGCCCTGGTGGAATCCTGGTGGAACCTTACCTCAGTCTCAGGGCCGCCCCGGACCGCCACGGAGCCTATCTGGGCTGAGACCCCAAAGCTTTCAGCTGTTGGGGAAAAAACTGAGCTTACCTTGAAGCGGGTTCTTTTTCAGGTACCCTCTTAGGGGTTTGTGTTTTTAGGGAATTTACCTGAAAAATCCGATCAATCCTTCGGGAGGTCAAGCAACTCTATTTTGACATCAAGAAAAACACACAAAAAACAAAAAAAAACACGAAAAGAATAAAACAACACAGGCAGAAAAAGCGGTGCTTCAGGTATTACTACCAGCTGAAGAGTTTGCTCACCTTCCACTGGGAGCCTTGCTGTCCAACGCAGATGATGATGGCCTCCACGCTGCACCCTCTCTCTCGCCCGCAGGCAGAGACTCAGAGACCCGTTTCGGAAGGAGACGCAACACCAGGGGCAGCACCAAATTGTCCTAGTTCTCCGATTTTGGGAAGGCAAGTAAGTTTGCTTGTTGCTTGTGTGCGCTTGTGCCTGTGAGTGGTTGTGTGGTTTTTGTGCTTGTGCTTGTGTGTGTATTTGCCTGGTTGTGTGCTTGTGTGCTTGTGTGCTTGTGTGCTTGTGTGCTTGTGTGCTTGTGTGCTTGTGTGTTTGTGCGGGTTCGTTTGTTTTTTGGAGGACCCTTTCTACCTTACTTCAACGGGAAGCCAACAACACAGAACAAGACACACATGTCCCCCTATTTTGACACATGCCAGTTTATGTGGGGTTGGTGAGAATAAATGGGGATAGGCAACATGTTGCCCCAGTTGGTAGGGGTCTATATGCAAAGGTGTTCATCCTGTCATGTATAGATTTTCTCGGGGATCCCCATCTAGATTCACTTGGGAATGATCATGGACCAGATGAATGCCAATCTAGATTTGAACGGACAAAAAGACTGCTCCATTTTTGGTCTGGTCTCCAAATCAAGTGGTTTTGGGATGTATAGTATCTACCAGAACCCTGTCCCCTCCGGTTGTACGACGGACACTTGGGGTCTACCTTTTGTTAGGGTGGTGTTCTAAGGCTGCTGCAAAGGGCGCGCCAAAAAGGCAGTCTCCAAGTTCTCCTAATGGGGCTCCCCGAAGCTTTCAGCCAACCAGTACCGTGGAGCTCAGTTTCGTTGCCACTTCCTGTACCAGCTGGGGTTCTGCCAAGTTAGCCGGTGCTTACCCAAGAAGGAATTTAACCTGTTGGTTTCTCTTTGGTCCATACAAATCGTCCAGGTTCTTTTTAGGTGACCTGAAGGCTTAACCCTTTCAACCACACTCCCCACCCCACCCCCAAAAAAGACTCTCCCGACACTTTGCGCCTCTTCGCGGGGCGCAATTGTTGTGTGGACTCCGAATCCGAATCCGAAGTCAGTCAACCGGAGGTGTGGCGGAGCCTTTTGCAGCAGATTCTGGTGAAGAAGGGGGCCTTCCTTTGGGCACCTTGGCTCCTTCATGACCCTTAAAAAAATAAAGTCATCTCCCAAAATAAAAGGGGTCATGACCCCATTTTTAAAGTGCCGATGTGAACCAGCCAAGTTGGTCTTTTACATCCGGACCCCCCCCATGTTTGGGTTGTTTTGAAGGGAGACCAAAAGGAGACCGCGAAAATTGGGGCTCTATCTTGACTTGGTGGCTCCCAGCCATCCCCTTAGCCTTTTCGCTTTTTAGTGTTTAGTGGTAGTTTCCGGGGATCTGAGGGCAGCCCAGATGAGACAAACCCGAAACGCAGTGGACCCCCTTATGTGTACCAATAATTTTGTCAGTTCCTCTGATATAGCACAGGCCCACTAAGATCAAGGACCCCAATGAAAGGAAATGGTAAGGAAACTCCAAGCTTGCCTCACGCAATTGCGTGGGCTTGGTAGAGACAATTCGCGCGGGGAGCCCTCCAACTTTCCCAAGTCCATTTGGCGAGCCAACAACATTGTCCGCGTTTTTTTTTCTTTCTTTTTTTTGTTTTTTCTTCGGCCATAGTCAAAACATGTGTTCTTAGGCTTAGGGAAGTTCATCAGCCTTTTGAGAAGGACACCCGTCGTCAGGATCGCCATCAACAAAGCATGACGTGTCCATGGCGGTGGGATGAATCCTTCCGTCTTCGCCTGAAAGACAAAAGGGGCGCGCTATGGCTATGGTGTTCCAAGCCTCGAACATTGCTGGGCATAGTGTCTGAGTAGGGGAAGCATCCAAAAATGTGTGGAACCCTTTGTGGATGGTTTGTTTTCCCGCATGGCCACAACTTCCGCCCAGCGCTGCCACTCACAACTTCTGCGGTGAGGCCATCTCGCCCTTGCCGTATCTGGGGCGCAGCATGATGGTGGTGGGCCTCGACACGGTGAAGGCGGTTTTTGTCGACACGAGAGTTTCGGCGCCTAGAAAGATGCTTTTTTAAAAGGAGACCCACATGGGTGGCTCGTTTAGTTTTTTTGTTGGTGCCTGCATTTGTTGTTTTACTCGGAAACCAAGAGAACCATGAGAGTCATTGCACAGAGTCATCATGAGAGTCATTGCACAGAGTCGTCACGAGAGTCATTGCACAGACTCATCATGAGAGTCATTGCACAGAGTCATCATGAGAGTCATTTGCGTTGTAGTCACTGTTTTGCATGGGCGGAGTGCTCATGCAGGGCGCAGTGCCGCCCTCGTTGTCGCTGTAGCTGATGGCTGTTTGTGGCTGACAGATTGCACATTGAGCAAAGAACTTGCGCGGGAATGATCACGGGGCTGTGATGCTTTCGGGCCAACCGTGGTCTAGTTTTTCATAGGGGGCTGCAAACAGACATGTTTTGTCTACCATACCAAGAGTTGGAAAGTTGCGTACCATTGAATTTGTCAAAATGGCAGGTCTTCGATGTGACCAACATGCTGGGGACCTTTCGGAGTTACACATGGGTGGCTCTTCTTTGGGATGACCCAAAATGGCGCGGCGGTTTTTTGTGTCGGTTGTTAAATCCACCAAAAAGGGGTGCCCTCGAAAAGAGACTAGCCCGCATATGGCTTTTCGATTCAAACAAAAGGTGATGGGTTTTTGCTCAGGGAAAGGAGCAACCCAGCTAGGGGCAAAATAGTTACTAAAGTCTCTCCCCCCTCCCCGGGCCCCATAGTACGTTCCAAAAATGGCAGGGTGGGAACGAAGGGTTGGTTCCCACTTCTGTGGTCGGGAACCATTGCCTATCGAGATGTCGATAGGAAGGCCTTCCGTATCACAGAAGTGGAAATGCAAGTGACCATCTAGCCGGGTAATAAGTAAACCTATCTTTCTTTTTTCGGGGGGGTCCCTAATAAAAAACACACACACACACATGTGCACAACTTTTAAGGTTGGAGAATCTCCGGATCGTCACCCAAAGTCGCTTCGCAGGCTGGCAAAGAGGCGCCGGTGCTGCAAGCTCTCAGCGCATCCGTCAATGTGCCGTGGCTCTGGGCTGTGCGTCTTTCTCGGCAGACCACCTGGGTGGGTTGAAAGGAAGCAAGCACTTACTGGGTGAAGTTCAATCAGCCATGCAGTTCAAATTAGGTTTTTAGCTGCTGTTGTTTTTAATTATCTGGTTTAGTGAATGGATGTCCGTTTAACCCACTGAGAGATAAACTTTTAGCAGGGGATCTGAGGCTAGCCCAGGCTCTATTTTGAGACAAACCCACATGTATCTGTGATTTGTTGAGGGTCCCTCATTTTTCCGGGGGTCTCTTCCGAAGCTTGCTAATATTTTAATAGCACACGCTTGGGGTACCCTTTTTGGCTTTGGTTAAGAGGCATTCCAAAAGGAAATCCACCCTATTTTGACGCATACCCAAATGGTTTGCAGCCTGGTTGTTGAGCGGGTGGGGTTCCCTCTAAATGGTCCACGCAAATACATGGTTCCCTTTTTCAGCACACGAACCCGGCTGTTCAGGCTTGTGTTGGGGGAGGGTTGCAGAAAGTGTTTACTCGGAAATCTGGTAGGAGGAGCCTTGAGCTTCCCCGTGCTCAACTGGGGATGGTGAACAATATGCATGAGTCTGCGCTTAGCAGTCAGCACATCTGTCGGCTTTGGTGGGGCACTGTTCATGGACGACTCTGACAAAGCCATTTGAGGTTGTCTCCAAAGAATATTCGGAACCTGCAAAGAGGATGAACCTGTTGGGGAAATCAAGGTCAAGTGACAGTCCCAAATTGTAGATAGTTGCGGGTCTCCTCTCTTTTCACTCCTTGCAACGGGGTTTGGGTATATACTCTGTTAATGTTGGAACTTGATTAATCAAGGCCCCCCCCCCCGCCTCAACAATGGAGGCGAGAATTCTGAGGCCCCCAACTTTTTGGACGTCCAAACAATGGAGGATTTTGGGGCCCAAGTCTACTTCAGTATTGCAGCCACTTCCTTTTTGGAATTCTACTTTAGTATTGCAACCACTTCTTCCTGAGCAGACTTTTTGGAATGCTAATCACGTTAGTAGCCATTCAAAGAGTGTGCCTTTCAGCCAGGGAGGGCTTGAGCTAGAAAGAAACCAATTGAACGGGGAATGCTTTTAAGCAAGTGGGCCACAATTGAAAGGGGAATGCTTTTAAGCAAGTGGGCGGCCAATTGAAAGGGGAATGCTTTTAAGTAAGTAGGCCACCAATTAACAGGGGAATGCTTTTGAGTAAAGCAAGTGGCAGTTTATTTTCTGGAGGGGGCTGGGGGCTTGGAACTAATGTGGTCCCCCCTAAAGAATGCCATTGTTGTGGTTCAGTGGAGTCTGTGAGGGGTACCCTTGTCCTCATTGTCTTTTCATCATTTTTTAAACACGGTTTAATAAAGAATTTGCAGTTTCAGGGCTGGGGATGGTTTTCAAATTTCAGAGGTTTCAGCTGGCTTTGGGTTTTGTGTTTGAGCAACCAATTAAAAGGGGAATGTTTTAAAGCAAGTGGGCCACCATCTTGTGGATATTTTTTTGAATCTCCCCCCCCCCCGGGCAAAAAACAACTTTCAGGTATTCTGGTCCCCATCAACAATGGAGGTGAACTATAATAAAGAAAAATACTTTGCATTATTGACTATCCCATGATTAACCGGGTGTCAACATCAGTAGCCTCACCCGTCCAAAGCGAATCGGCCTTTTAACCTGTGTGTTTTCCCCGTTGGCTTATGTTTCGTCAAGGTTCCAAAAGGGGGTCCCTGCAAGAGGAAGATGAAAGGTCCTCTCCCACAGGCGCCTGCTGTTTGTGGAGCCGTCTATTTCCACGCACTTCGGGCAGGTGAGGAGCATGGATTACTCAGGTGAGCCACAATCAAACACGGGTAGATGAAGGTTAGTAAGGGACAATCCCAGCCACCTGGTAATTCTTTACATGATTCTGGGTACCCTTCCTCCCACTAACATGGCACCTGTGGGGAGGTACCTGGCAGATCAAATTCCTCTTGAAGGCACCCTCTGTCAGGTGCCATGTTGGTGGGAGAGAGCTGGGTACCCTCCCATCAGCTAACATGGAAGTGCACCGACCCCTGCAGAAAGACAACTTTCCTCTTGGAAAGGGCCTTTTTTCACTTCCATGTTAGTTGGTGGGAGGGTAGTCCATTTTGCTACCGGGTTTTGATGATGATTCACTTTGGTGCATTTTGCTTGGATGTTAGAACATTCACTTGTTGCCAACTAATGGGTGTTCCGTATTAAACCTCTAAAAGTTAAAAACTTTTAGCAGGGGATTTGCTCTCCGGGTTTTCATGCGCCCCTCAAAGGGTTGACGGAAAGTTTGAGTGTTCCACCAAAGGGACCGGGAACCAACCAAAGGTGAGGACCAGATTTTGGGACTCACATTTTGTTTCAGTTTATGGTTTAGGGTCTAGGGTTTGATACCGGATTCTGAGATTACGACCATTTTACTCCCGGGTTTTTGATTACTATGTTACTACCGGGATTTGATTGTGACTCATATGTTGTCCCCCATGGGACCCTTAACTCCAAGGGCTGCTCGAACTGGTCGAATTTTCCATCAGGTCCGCCGACTCAGGTCTACTTCACCAGCTACTTCAGCACCTGGCGCTCAGGCCCCGACTGCGGCGCTCTGCTGCGCCAGGCCTTGCAGCACTTCTACACCCGGCGCCTTGGCCCGGGACCGGAACCGACCGGGGCCGGGGGCTTTGGCGGGGAGTCTGTTGCCTGAGTTTACGTTTGGGTGTGGTTCTCAAAATTAAACGATCGGAGGGGCCTCAAACGCAGATTTTGGTGCCCATGTTTCCACTTACCGATCGGGCAAGCCATGTTGGCATTCCGGTTTTTTGAATTCGCCACAGCCATTTGACTGCAGAGACTTTTAGGTCCCGGTATAGTAGGCAACCAGGGGAATCAGCCTTTAAAAACCAAAAGGAAAGTGGTGAAGGAAAGTGATCTGTGAATGGATGTTTCACCTTTTTACCTGGTGAGATAGTTCTAGGGGTACCTTCCATTTCCATTCTTTCCAGAAATATGTTTTCTCGAAAACCTCCGTAAACCCGGGGAAAACGGCCGGTTTTCGGAAAGAACGATGGTTGAAAATAATGGGGAATCAACCCCTAGAATAGTAGTTAACCAAGGGATCCAGCCTTGAAGCACCAAAAGGAAAATGGCGAAGGGTTACCCACGTACTATATAGGCAGCTGGGATTTACTGGGGTGCACGAAAGACCAATCATATATATGATGTGTGTTTCTGCAAAAGCTGAGGTAGGGGATTGGGCTTCAAAAGTGTCACTGGAAAAATAGCATCGAGCCTATAAAAGGAAAGAGATGCATTCGTGACCGCCTCAATACGAAGCTGGGCACTTGGATAGCCAAGTTGCTGCTTTTGTGCAGACACGTTACCCTAAAAACAGTCACAGTTGCTAAGACAACAAGCGGCAATTTGCCATCCTGGTGGGGTCCAACTAAGGGGCTCCGGAATGTCGACTCCACGGGGCAAAAGTTAATCTCAACATGAACCCAATTCCTTCCCACCGAATTTGATCCATGTAGATGATATGTTAAAGTTCTAGCAGCATTGATTTAAGACATTTGGAGGGTAGATGTTTCACACACTCACTGTGTGAGTCTTAAGGCTAGAATTGAAAGAGATGGTTCACCTTGCCCCCTTTGCAGTTAGGAGTCCTGCATTTCGAACAGCTCAGTTTAATGCTACTACACTTGGATCTTCCTTCCCATTCCCGCTTTCCACCTATCTCGCTTTCCAAAATTTCGAGGATGGGACATGACATCCCAGCTTGAAGACCATGAGTGCGATGTGAAGACTGTGATCTGGCTGTGTCCTTGTTTGATAAATCCACAGGGAAGCTCAGCATTTCTCAGGGGTAGCCTAAAAAAGATACGCCCACGTGTCCCCGGAACCTCCTTCATCTTCCAAGAATACGGAGAATGCCAAAGCCTAGGAGCTACAAGTTGCACGAGTCAGAAACTTCTTTGCGAAGGGAAGTCTCCAGGGTTTGAATGTACTTTGCCTTTCTTCAGATCCCACGGCAGAAGAGTCTTGGGATCCGAGCTGTCAGATTTGATTCACGGATTTCTCGGGCGAAAGAAGCAAACTTTTGCCTGCTGCATGTGCAAGTTGAGATACTGGTGTATGGTTTCTACGAAAGGCGGGTCCCCAAGACAGGTGTTGCATGTTTTTCAAGCTCTGCCTCCCCTCGTGGGTAAACTGCTTGGATCGAGAGACATTACTGCCGAAATATTTTCCGAAGCTTGGGGCGGGCGGGCGTAATGTGCACTTCCCTATTGGTGTAACGTCATCTACCTGGATGCTCATCAACTTAGAAGTAGGTCAGCACCATATCAGGGGACGAATCCCAGCTGGACCGGGTTAACCATGGTTATAACCTACCGGTTAAGTTGGTTGAGCATCCAAGTAATAGGTCAGTATTGATTGTCCTTCCTTCGATGTTCAAAGAAGGCAACTCTGGGCTTGTGTTTTAAGTTGACTCTACCCTTTCCGGGGTTAAAGTGGAACAGCAAGCCCATGATTTTGGGGTCCGAATCCCTTGACGCATACCCTTATAAGAGAAATTCTAGGTGGGATTGTCGAACGCGAGGATTCCACTGCCACCAAAACAGCGCCACCGCCGGACTTGTTGTAGTCTCCACGGCACGGCGTGAGCAGTAACGGTGGTACCTGGAGGGATTCTAACCGCCCCACCTTTGAACCCGGCCAGGCCTTTTTCTGTCCGAGTAGCATCGCGCTGCTCCCTACCATCGCCGACCAAAACAGCGGAAAAGAACCCTTGGTATAGTACCTATGACAAAAATATAGCGGTTGTTATCCCTCTAAGTTGGCTGGGGTTTTGGTGGTCATGCTGACACAGCTATGAGGAGCGACGGGCGGGTGGGACCTTTGGCCTGTTTCGGAGGCTCCGGCGGGTGCCGGACACCTTGGTCATCTACCGGGGCGGTGTCAGCGAAAGCCAAGAAGCGCAGCTGCTGGACAGCTGCCGGCGAATTCGTGCGGCGAATCGGGGCCTTTGGGGGTTGGTGTTGATACCCTTTTTGGGGTGGTTGTAAAGGGAAGCCAAACAGAAAACGGTGGCGCCAGTTTTGTTTGGGGGTATTTTGAGCCATACCTGATTCAAGTTGGTAGACTAGGTTTTTGTTGAGGGGTCTCCGAGATTGAGTGTGTTTTAAGCCGGCATGAATCAGAATCAACCATATGTTTGGACCCCGGATATGCACCACGTGAAGCGGGGGATTCGAAAGTACCACGAGAGGGTTCTCGAATTTGAAGGAAAGAAACCCAGGCTGTGGCAAAATTTTATCTTTGTATGTTGCCATGTTTTGTGGCCGAAGGAACCCCCCGTAAATCATGCAGATGGCTCATGTAGGATGAAAGGACCATGAGGTGATGTGTCGTGGGCATGTCGACTTGTGTTTGCTTTTGCCAATATGTTGTCCCCTAAAGTTATGCGACCCGTACAGGGGCTGGTCGGGTCAGGGGCTGGCTGCTGACTATGTTTCTTCAATGCCCAGGTTCTTAGGAAAGTAATGTTGACCCCGGTTTGAAATTATATCCCGTCTAATGAACAAGGGGATTTTCCTCTTCCGCTGGGGCTATCCATTTTTTTTTCGCTTTTGCATAGGAAGTCCCGGGAGCTATGCTTGGCTAGGTCCCCCAGTAGTGACCTTTTACCGATTCTTTTCTGGGGGGAGGGTTCCCCTACAATAAACAAGAAAGGAAACAAAATGGCACCCTTCTTCTAACCTCTCAAATCTGGAGGATCTAGTGGTACATAACAATTTTTTGTTTTTTTTCTTTGGCCCATCCACTTGTTCGGAGGTGAGAAGGACCTTTGGGAGGTTACGCCACCGCGGCCCCCAGGAGTCCGAGCTGCACGGGGAGCACGGGCTTCTCGCCGCATTGCACACATACGCCCAGGAGGCGCGAAATAACCCACGCCACTTTTTTGGGGGGTGTCGTCAAGACTACTGATTCGGCCAAGTGGCTGGGGGCAAGTGGCTAGTACCATACCCTGAGAATCCATGTAGGCAAATATGGCGTACATTGCAATGTAGCCATTTTTGGGGTACATTGGCAATGTAGCAAAAAAACGACAACATTCGTCGGATCCCTGTCGGATTGTCGAAATATAGCCGAAAAATGATACATTCGCCGAATCCCCGTCGAATGTCGAAATATTGCCTGAAAATTGAGGAGATTTGACGAAGCTCGTGTCCGATAGTCAAATTTGAACCCGAGTGTGACGGAGTTTATTGAGCATACTTGTTTTTCAGGGGCCCAATGATCCTGCTTGCTAACTTGCTCTATTTGCCAAAGCACTGTTGTGTAGCAACTTCGCTTTCATTAATTTGCACTTGCTTCAGCAAGTGTAAACACCACGTTATTGACATGGACATTTGATGATGTGTGTAGCTAGCGATGGTTGAGAGCTTGCCATCAGACTCTTGCAAGTGTTGTTTTCCGGATGAGCAGGCTACGAAATCCACAATTGCGAGATTGATTCTGTTCGTGCATATGGGCAGTTCTTATGGGACTGTGTGTGTGTGCAGCGTTGGTGCACTCTTATGAGAAAGCCGCTCTAAGTATTGAGTACGCAAACTGTTCGACCACTGGCACTATCGCTGCCAACCAACATGGGGTCGGACGCGCAACGCAAAGCCACCCTCGAGCTCTATTGCTCATGTAAACGTGCTTTGATCTCGAGTTATGCGTATTTGAAAAGAAAACCCTACAAATTCAACATGCTCTGAGCCAAAGGAACGGACTTGCCGACCTTGAGCCGCATTGGAAAGCACAGCCATCTATCAACTGTAAGGGATTTATGTTACAACACTACAGCCTACAGGCAATTGCAAGTATGGACATTTTTCTGGCTGTGCCGAACGTTTGAGATATGAGGAGCGCCGAACCAAATTGGCCTACCGAGTCGACTCCCAACTGCCGCCCAGTAACTGTTGGCCATTCAAGTGTGCTCAATCTACGCAGCAAGATGTCCAAGCATACCAACAAGAAACTCCAATTTATCTTACCAAAAAGCGTTGTTTTTAATTCCGCTAAACAAAACATAGACACACATATCTTATGTATGTGCAAATGTACTGTGTATACACATGTACAAGACTTTAGGTACACATGCAGCTCAACATAATGAATATCTAAGCTCAGAACATAAAGCAGTGTTCTTATTTGTAGGTTTACAATGACTGCATTGCGATTGGGCAGACCTGGCGTTTTGCCGCTTGAGCATGGGATATATGATGCTGCACGCGCGACATGTATGTCAATTATTCGGTTGCCAATACTAAGTGCTATGTAAACTCGGATAAGGAGCCACCAAGCTTAGCATGCATGTCTTCAGAGCTCTTGAGTATTGATTGGCATGCTGGAGACTCAGCGTCTACTAAAGGCCCAACAAGTACCTATTTTTGCTATGTGGCTCCCCAAAAGCAGTTCAGCAAAGGTCCGTTTATTCCCCCTGGCTGACCAAAGTATGTCCCTACCATGTTCTTAGCGATTTGGAGCAAACGACCCAACAAATTTCGTTTGTTTTTGCGTGACTTCTTCTCGGATTGTGTTCCTGTCCTTTGCTTGTGCAAACGAAAAACCGTGATTTGGCGTGATTTGGCGTGAAAAGTTGTCGGATTGTCTTCTTATTTTTTGCTTACGTTAACGGAAAACCGTGAAATAGCGTGAAATAGCGTGAATTTTTGCCGGACTGTGTTCGTGTGTTGTCCACGCGTTTTACGAGAAGCAACGCGTGATTTCGCGCGATGACACGTCGGACGAGGCTCGATTTTTGTTGGCGCCGTGAGTTGGAAGTGATGTGGCTTGATTGTTGGCGTCAGCTGGCAAGCTGGCCTAGAAACAGCGGAGAAACGCTTGTCAAACAAATGGCTTACTAGCGCGTATGCCCAATGAGGGCAAAGCACTGAGCCCAAAACATTCGCAGAAAAGCTGACAAGGACATGTTTAATCAAGGAGAGCAATAGACAAACATGTTACGTGTGTCCTTTATAGTTGGGTTTCATCAAAAAAACCGAGTCCTTGCAAAGCAACATATGGGGCTTGGACTGCGTCATGTGCGTCCAGTCTCAATCATTCTCCTCAAGACCGCCGCTTGAGCCCTTCCCAGCACATCTCGTTTAACATCCACGTTTGTTAAGTACAGCAATTTGTTTTTTGTTAAGTCTGTGAATTTTGCATTGCGGCATGGGGGCATGGCAGGCTTAGAGCCTTAATCACTATCTGACCAGTGTGGCAAGCAGTTGCCGCTCGAATGGAGATTGGGAACTGCTAGCAGGCTAGCATGCGTTTAAAGTGAGCCTCCTGGAAAGAAATGAAACACCTGCTGTGAACAACCAGGGCTTTTTAAGTTGGGCCTGCGCTCTGGACTGGGTTGCGGCATGGTGTTAAGCAAGTATTTGGTTGGAGATGTGATCGTTGGAAATTAGACCCCTTACCTTCGGTTGACGGTTTATGGCCCGCGAACAAGCTTGTCATGATGACCCATCGCCCCTGCGTAGGCACGCATCAAACATAATAGCAACTAAGCTCGCAAAGGCAGAGGTTGCAGCTTGCAAGCAATCAGGAAGCAACACGCATTTAAGCTACACACGGGCAAGTTGACGAAATTGTGTTCCTGTGGACAACAACGATGTAACATCATTCTGCTTCATCGTTAGTTTGGGGGGCATCAACCCCCATGAGCGATTGGATAGGTTTTGTTGAGAGTGGCGGGATCTCCTGCTGCGAGGTGTTTTGCAAGGAGTTGTTGTCCTCCATGCGCAATAATTATGTTTGTTGAGTGATCTTTGCTAACCGGCGTTGCCTTAGTGTGATCCTGCGCTGGAAATGTGCTTCATGGCGTGGCCTGAAAAGTTTGAACTATCGCACACGTGTTTCGTCGTCACACTGTTTCGTCAAGCAAGCCAGCCCATCAAAAAGGTTGACGTTACAATCGGAAGCCCTCAGCGGGATCTGCTACACTATGCTGGTGGATTCCTTCTTTTGCGTGCCAGGCAACCAACATTTACTGACAATGATAGCCGGGGTTGGCTCTCGTCATTTTGTGCCCTGATTGTGCCCTGTAGCTGTTGCCAGTCATTCGCAGTTTAAGTTTTGTCCGTACATCAATTTACGGCGCGCCTTTGTATTTTCCTGCATAAAGGCGTTGGAAAGGGTGGTTGGAGGGCGTCGTCGGATAGAGTCGTCGAAATTGAGGCGAGCTTGTTGTCGGAAGGCTTGTCGGAACCCTTGTCGGAAGTTGTCGGTTTGAATGTCCCCAAAAATTGGCTACATTCAGGTTTATCGGTCAATGTAGTTGAAAAACGCTGGCGTCGGCCAATGTAGGCGATATATGCATACATTGGATTGTCAGGGATATATATATAGATAACCTACTCAGTAATCATGTATTGTGAGTTAGAACCTACCTACTGTAGATTTACTGACCGCTTTTTAGCTTGGCCGAACACCCAAGTAGGCACCCTGTTGACAAGACATGGTTTAGAGGGAATCTCCCAGCCATCCGGTTCCCTAGCTTTTTTAGCCTTTTATAATGTTTATTGGTAGTTTCCATTCCCACTAAAAGTGGGTCACTTTTAGCTGGTAGTTTCCATCTAACCCACGAAAGGTTCATCTTTTAGCGGGGGATCTGAAAATGGGCAGCCCAGGAGTGTGGTTTCTATCGATCAGCCCCTCCCTTGCGGCCCATATTGCTTCTTTCGGCGGGCCTAGTTTGAGGGAAGCCGAGGCTCGCAGGCTCGAGGCGGGAGGCGGGAGGCGGGAGGCGGGGAGGCGTCAAAGGAAAGGAAGATCTCTGAAGTACCGCAGGGCTCCTTAAAAGATCCACAGGACTTTCTGTTTTGTTTTTTGTTTGACCGGTAGTCAGGGCCTTGCCATGTGAAACATGGCTCGCTCTTTTTTCCACCGAAATAAAGTTGGAAACCACCATTTACGAGTTGCAATGTTCAGGTGTAAAAGATACACAGAACTTTTTGTGTGTTTGTTTTTGACCGGTAGTCAGGGTGGCAAGCCAGGAGGTTTTTTACCATGCCATGGTTGTTGTTGTGGTGGTTGTTGTTGTTGTTGTTTGTTGTTGTTTGCCCATGCTAATCCACTAATGGGATGGTGGTGTTTGCCGAGTTGAAGGATTCCCTTGCTTACCCACTATATTGCTGGGTATTGTTGACCTGACCATTGCTTTACACGGCCGGTTTAACATGGTTGTTGTTGGGAAACATTGGACACATTTTTGCTGATTGTGGTTTAGTGGTTGAAATCCAACCACCGAACTGCTAAAATTGATAATTTTTGCTCCCCCTTCCAACGTCAACCAAGTAACCGCTTACCCCAAATACCCGCGCACTGTTCAGGGTATTGTTTTGAAAAACCAGGTTTTCCACGGTAAATACCTCCCTTTTTAGTAGAGGGTCGACATCATACCCTAAAAAGAAACGTATTTGGAGTAGGGGCTAGTTTGGGAGGTATTTCCTTGTCAATGCAACTGCACAGCACGATTGCGCACGTTTTTTTTGTTTTTTTTAACGTTGCCATTGCGCATTTGGCTTGGAAGTTAGGCAAAGCTGGTTTTCTGGCAGACTTGCCAATTGACCTTGCCCTGATGCTTGAGGGTTTGAGACCGGCAATTTGCTTAAGAATATGTTCCATTTTCCCCTGGTTTTAAAAGGAATTCCTCACTACTGGACACATTTTTCTCATTTTTCTCCTGGGGCCTTCAGCAAATGGTTTGCCAGGTCTTGCCAGACCAGGACTTGGAAGAGTGGGAGGCCAAGCTCTCGGTGGCCTTCATCATGGCGCGAAGGAAAAATTTTCCGATCTCGGGCTCTGGGTCCCTTTTTTGGTTGGGTGGGTGAGGGTTCCCCTGCGAAAATCGACTAGAGTCTCCGTGACCCCTAGAACAAAGGGTAACTAACCCCGTTAATTTTGGGGGTACTGACCCCATTTTGAAAGGGTCAGAAGGAGACTCCAGGTACGGAGTAAAAAAGGTTCGTACCCTTATTCTAACCTTCCTGCTGGAGGACCTATGGCCTCGAAGATTCGTTGCCAAAGACCCGGTCAGGTCGGCGTGCTTCCTTGGGGGTGTCACTTTGAAATCAACTCCCAAACGTGTTAACTTAGTCTTAGTAATAATGTACGGAGGGTGAAATCAACTCCCAAAACGTGTTAATTTAGTCTTAGTGCAAATCATGTACGGAAGGGGTGCCTGAATCTTCCGGAGTGGGTATGCAAATGATGACATATTCATTGGTTGGGGAACCCTTGGCGAATATCATTTGCATGGGAATTGGAGTTCCCTTGTTCAGCTATTCTCATTGGAAGCAGAGACTCTTCCAGGACTTTGCCATATTGTGGAATCAGAGACTCGATGGGCCTATCACTGGAAAGCGGGTACTGCGCCACACAATACTGTAAGCATTTACAAGTCTGCCTACTTTATACCGAGCTCACCGATCCGGTATAACGAGCTCACCATGATGAAGGTTCTTCACTTAGGGATCCCTTAATTGAGCTTCTGGAATTCTTGGTGGCTCCCAGCTATCCCCTTAACCTTTTGGATTTTTAGTGTTTAGTGGTGGTTTCCATTTAACCCACTAAAAGTGGGTCACTTTTAGCGGGGGATCAGAACACGGGCAGCCCAGATTATTTACCATGGTCAAAGACACCCCCTATGTGGTGGGGTAAAGGGAAACAAACCAACCATCTTCTGACTTTGATACCCCCCAGGGATCCCTTAATTGAGCTTTTGGAATTATGCGGAAAGTTTGCAGACAAGTTCAAGAAGCGCGAAACGGCGAAGGTGGAGAGCGTTGGGACTGCTTTCGGAGCACCCTCAAAGTGGGGAACTGGGTCTGTCGCTTTTTTTAGGGCACCTCCTTTGGGTTGGCGTTGAAAAGGAAACCAAAAGGACAACCCATTTTGAGGGTCGGAAAAGGATATATACCCATAAGGCCCTATCTTTTTTGGTGTGTTTTTTCCTTTTTGAGGGTCGGTTGTTTGGGTTGGAGACCCCACAGTCCCAGAGTTCCGTTTTGGACTGGGCCTGGGCCATGCTGGCTTTGCATAAAAGTGTGGTTACCCTTCCTCCCAGCAACCGGTTTTCCATTTGCTCAAGAATATGTTTTATTTTCCCCTGTTCATTTTAAAGGGAATTTATCACTACTGGATGTGTTTGCTTTTTCCAGAAAACTTAAGCAAATGAATGTACCATGGCACCTGAGGGAGGGTCCCTGGAAGATCAGTTTCCTCTGTCAGGTGCCATTTTAGTGGGTGAGAGGCTACTTGTTTTGGCCAATCCACGGGCTGGTTTTGAAGGGTCGAAGTTTTTCGGGGTGACTTGGACCCATGAACTTTAAACTTTTTGGGAAGACCATTTTAGTGGTAAATAAAAAGCTCAAACTTTTTTTTGCTAGTCAACTTGGGGGATTCCCAACCCATTTGAGACCCATGGGCGAGACCCCGGCCGGGCAAAAGGACAGAGCCGAGCCGAGCTTCAGGAGTCTGAACTCGCGCTTCATGACTGAGGATGGGGAGAACCTGCCCAGTGGCAGTCGCTGAGTTTAAAATGGTGCGCTCGAAGAAGGGAGAAAAAAACCCATTCCCTGAGTTCCTGGGCTTGAAACATCTTTGGTTTGGACCATCTTGGTGGCGACCAAACAGTTTGGACTTTGTTTGGCCAATCCAGCCAGGCCGTGAGAACCAGATGACCGGTCAACCAATATGGTTTTGGGTTGGTCTCACCTGCAGCAGTACTTTGTAACCAGTCAAACCCCCATAGGACGAAAGTAAGGGAGCATGTTTGCGTCTCGGTGGTTGGGACCATGTTACTTTTTGTTTGCCAAGACCAACATGATTCATGGACAAAGGGACATAGTTAAGTCCTAAGGTTGGCCAGCCTAGATTTGGAGACAACCTTCTCGCTGGTTCTCAGAAGGGTGAACATTGTCTAAGAGCCAGGTTTTTTTTTTGTCACGCCTGTTCTGTCAGGCTACATCGACGAGGACGTCATTCCAGGAGGGGTCTGCCTGTCTGCCTCCCTCAAACACACCTCCCATGTGTGTCGGTTGTGGACTTTCCTCCTTTTTTCGGGCCGGGGAGGGGGGGGGAATGCAAAGGATAATAACGCATGTTTGCTCTTTTTCTGTTTATTTTTTTGTTTTTTGGGGGGGCGATTTTGTTGAGACAAGCCCACATTTGTCACGTTCAGTGTCCGGAGGGCTGATCTGAACAGTTTCGTCATGTTGGTCTCTCAACTTGTCCAGGCCAGCTTCTGATTCAGACCAGGCTTAGTTTAGAAGCTCCCGAGTTAGGGACAACGTATTCCATGCATGATACAGCCAGTGCTTGAGTAAAGAGCATCGTCTAAAATGATGCGGAGCGTCTCGGCATGTGCCTGCCTCCTCTTTTGCCCGTTCCAATGTGACACATGTCATGTCACAGGCAAAGCAACTGGGGCGCAGAATCCTGAGCGCTATGCGGCTCGGCAATGGAGTGGGCCTGGCAAACTGAAGCACGCTCCAGGCGGCACTGCTTGCGAGGGATTTTGCCAGCCATTCCAATTCATCTATGGAGATGATTGAGGACGCTGTTCCCTGGGTGCATGGCCAATCACCCAAAGGAACCCAAAGTTGAACAGTTGAACAGTTCAAAGGAACCCAAAGGAAGTTCTCCTTGCACTCTTTGAATAGTTTCAAAGGAACCCAAAGTCCGTCTGGGCGAGTGCTGCACTTCTGGGGTCCCATAGGCTCCCGGCTCAGGATTTCTACATGGTCTCTCAGAGCTACGTCATCGGCACTGCCCGGCCGACGCTATATACCGTGTTTCTCGGCGACATGGCAATTCGAATCCGGACGTGGTCTTTGCCAATGCTTCTTGCGGGTACACAGACAGAAACAAAACATGTAGTTGCCAACAGTGCCAGTTACTGTGTTTTCTCTATTTGAGGCAAGCTGTGGGTGTTGACTTCTCAGAGTTGCGCTGTCCAATTGCTGCAATGACCGTAACGGGAATCCTTAAGCAAAAATGATAGTTTTCGGTTGATGAATGGCGTGTTCTCTCATGTTAGAGGGAATCCTTAACGTTTGGAACACCCCCTACTTGGATGCTTAGCCAACTTGCGAAGTAGGATAGAACCATGGTTATAAGGAGACGATCACCCCAGTTGCACCGATTGCAACCGAATAATTTTGGAAGGTTGATTGGTCGGGGTCGACAATGTTTGGCACTTCGAAGACTTGGACGCAGGGCTGTCGTTTATTGCGTATCGTGAGCTGTGCTGCAGGGTCCAATCAACTTTCTCATCCACTTAAAAAGGACACATTATTTGGTGCGGGAGTAGCTGGTGACTTCCGGAAATCCGTTGCAGTTCTATCTTTGCTGTTGTGTTGCTTCGGAGACCATGACAGTATCAGTGTGTCGAAGGTCGATTCCCTTCCAGGTTTGTAGATGAATGGGTATCGGTTTTAATCCCCGATCGGTTTTGCGGTAATATAATCGTTTGCTCACATGAGCAATCGACAGGATTCTTGTACGACCCGTTACCTGAGGAACCGGTTGTATCCGTCTCTATGGATAGAACGGGGGATACCTCGGGTTAGTCCCCTTACCCTGACAACCTAGTCAGCTTTTCACACCTGCCAGACATTTCCAGAAAGCACCTACTTGCTGGTGCTCAGTATGAGGGAATGAACCTGGGGATTCCCTGAAAGGAAACCAGAAAGCATTTGGTTTTGAAATGGTCATTCCATTTCTCATTCGCCGCCTACACCAGCAAGCCTAAGCCATGACCCGCCTTTCCCCTTGGCGATCGAACAGATCGGTGTCGGATCCAGGCCCGAGGGGCAAAAAATTGGCATGGGGAAAGGAGAGTTTCTGGGGTTTTCGTGGGTTTCAAGGGGTTCAACAGGCACTCGACTTGGTTTTGGGAGAGGGGTGTTGGGAGGTTGGAGATGTCGTTTTGGAAGTTACCCTTTTTGGATGGTGTGAAGGGGAAACCAAACGGACACCGCCTATTTATTGATTTTTCCCCAACAGCTGAAAGCTGAAAGCTTTGGGGTCTCAGCCCAGATAGGCTCCGGGGTGGTCCGGGGTGGCCCTGAGGTATATAAGGTTCCACGATGGTTCCACCAGGGTTCCACCAGAGTTCCACCAGGGCTCCACGAGGATTCCACGAGGTTCTGCGAGGGCTGCGCGAGCATTAAAAAGAGCACTGCGTGCTGTTGGGGATATCACCTGAGCTTTTTTTTGGGGGGGTCCCTTATTTTGAGACAAGCCCATACGCTCAACATTTAGCTCCGTGTAGAAAATGAGGGGTCCCAACAATGGAGATGCCCCCATCCACTTTGATCAAACATGATATCAAGCAAGAAAAGCAGACGTCCCATGCGTCCCCCCAAGAGTCCTCCAAACAAATCTGGGAACCAAGGCTGTACAACACGTCGAGCTTCTCAAAGCTAGAGATCGTTGAGCTCACCTACCGCCTCTGCGCGGTGTACATGACCTTTGCCGGCATGGCCCCTCGGAAGAGAGTCAGAAGGGCAGACACGGCGGTGTTCCCGATGTTTCCCCTTGAACTCACTCCCTGAGTTCCGTTTCGGACGTAAAACCTTTTTTTGGGGAACACCATTTTAGTGGTAAGCAAGAAGTTTGGACTTTTTTGGCCAATCCACTCAGGAAGTGAGTAGAATATCAGCCAAAAGAAGACTCACTTCAAGTTGGGATGCTGAAACTGGGGCTTTGTAACATCAGCTATTGCTTATTTCCGCTTTAAACATCCACCGGACATCATTTAATGGGACCCCCAAAAGTGATGTTTACCACACAGGGAACTACAGGGACCTCGGTTTGGCCCAGACATTTCTGACCGGCAAACGTTGGGTATTTGGCGAGCTCACCAAGCAAAGTACTTGGTTTTAGAATGTACATTCGCGCGGGTGCGTGGCAAGCTTGCCACGGCTCATTGGAAAATGCACAGATATATGTCTCATGTTTCAGAAGTTTCGGCGAGTTTCCTAAAAGAGAGCCAGAAGGGGATGGGTATGTCATCCCCTATTTGACACTTGGCTTCATTGTCGCGAGGGGTCCAAGTCAATTTTCTCCCGTTGGTTGCCCTCCGCAGGAACTGTCCCCCAAAAGAGGGTCCTCCAAGAACGTTCCATGTCAATCTCTGTGACATCTGGCCTTGATCAAGTTTTGAGGTCCCGTTCGGTTGGTGATGTGTACTTTGGAGCCATGTTTGCAAAACACCCTCTTACTCGGGATTGGCAGGGACGGCCATCAACACCTTAAGGCTTAGACAATCATTGGGTACCATGGACCATGGCCAAAAAAGGAGGTTTTGACCATGGCAAATGTAAACCCTGTCGCACGTCGAGACTGGCAAGGTATCAGTGAAGAAGCATGATGATTTTCTTTACGTGCCCCATGAGGTATATGTTGATAAACCTGAACAGTCAGACAAAAGGACACGTAAAACTTAAATCTCAGGAAGACTACATCTATGTTCGAGACATCAACCACTTAGCAAGCGGTTAATCATCTTATGGAAGTTTGTTCAGCATGCAAGTTTCTGCATGGATGCTGCCTCGGAGTCGGCCTTCGGCCCTACAAACGTTTCAGTTGTCTTTGTCCTTCTCTTTGAACTTTAAGCGCCCAGTTTCAATTCCAATTCCAGTTCCAATTCATGCAAAGTTCCAATTGCAGTTTCAGGACACCCCCACATGAGCCTCCGCATGATCGTATCACTTCCTTGCGGGCTCTGAATGTTGGCCATTGTTTCATGCGCAGTTACCCACTACCAGTCTTCCCTTTTTTTGTTTTTGTCTTTGAGTGAGGGGAGGTTCCTTGTGAACTCAGCGGTTGCTTTGCTTGGGGTTCCCTTCAAGCTGGAGCCAACCCGTTGTGTGAGGTTCTATCCCATGGACTCCTGTGCCCATGGGTTCTGTTTCGAGGGTTTCGCGGCGAGAGGTGGCCAGCGGGTTCTTGGTGGTTCGCAGCCATCCCCCTGGCTTCTTAGCAACTTTCAGTGTTTAGTGGCTGGATTTCCGAAGTTCACCCACTCGAAGTGAGTCACTTCTGGCGGGGATCAGAAAACGGGCAGCCCGGGGTTTTGGACACTTTTGGGCACTTTTGGGCCTTTGGTGGAAACAAAGGTAGTGAAGCATTCCTTGTTGAGGGGGTCGCCAATTGTCTCAAAGGCAAAAAGACCCCTCTGTTTGTATGCACAGGTTGTGGGTCAAGACTAGGTCTCCAAAATGGCTCGCCCTGATAAAACATGGAGACATGTGACACTAAAAAACCTGCGTTTGTTTTTTTTTTCTGGGTGGTTTTTAATTTTTCGGACCCATACCCAAAAATGAAACCTGCCCCGGGGCCCGGGGGGGGGGGGTAAAAGTTGGCCCAGGTGTCCATGCCAGCGCCCCTGAAGTATGCCACGAAGCTCCTGAGCCTCCTGACCAAGCCGCTGGGCCCGGGAAACCGGCCGACCGAAAGAGACCGACCCAGCGAGTCGCGCCGACTTGTGCCGCCCTCGTTTTTTTTTTTTGCGGGGGGGTGGGGAGGGTGAGGGTTCCCCTACTTAAAGTAGATAGAAAGGAAGAAAAGTCGGGAGCCTTCTTCCAACCTCTCGACTGGAGGACCTAGAATCTGGGGATCCAACCTCTCTACTGGAGGACCTAGAATCTGGGGATCAACTAGGCGTGCAGCATTTGAGGCAGTGGGCTATGCAAAGCAGTCCTTGCGTTGCCAGGCCTCGCTATGCTCTTCATCCCTGTGCGATTTTGGGGTTCCGTTCAGGTTGCCTTGTACCCAGGAACCAATTGTCACTTTTTGCGGGTCTAAGTCCCATGGCATTTGGGTTCGAGAGGGTTTCTGCAGACTTTGGCCAGAGACGCTTGGGTTGTGCTAGGGTGGCCAGTGTTGTTACTTTGGTCGCTTTGCCGAGTTAGGAAGTGGTAGCCTAGTTTGTATCCTCATGAGTGAGTTTGGCCGGTAAGTAGGTTAGACCCTAGGTTACCAACCACTGACTACCTTGGCCGAACATCCAAGTATTGGAGCATCTTGTCATCTGGAAGCCAGGCACTTCCAACAGAGGAAGTCGGAAGTCGGAAGCCCCCCGGTTTCCCATCCTGACAAGAGCATTCCAGGGGAGCGCCTCCATTTAAGTCGACCCTTCTGGCTGCCCCCACGGGCTCGGCGGTCATCAGTCTCCCCTTCACGCTGAAATGACCATGGCGGGTGTGTGTTTGTTGTCGTTTTTGTTTTAGGGGGACCCCCAAAACGGCTTCGATGTTCCTCTTGGTTTCCTTTTAAAAAAGTACCAATGGAAACCCCGCTGGCGAGGATGAAGACTCCATGCCCCGGAATTCGACCGCTTCGGTGGAGTGAATGTTTTTTGGGGGGTTCGTTTTTTTTAGGGAATGCTTCGGGGGAATGCTGCATTTCGCATCATTTTATCTTTTACGTCTTGGCATGTTCCTAGCGCGGCAATGAACATGTGCGCCACTCATGGGCAGGTTCTAGCAACCATATCCTTTACTTCTCAATTGCAATTTTGAAAATGACACGGCGATTATCTTTGGGCGGTTGCATGTTGCACTTCAGCGATGGCGAATGCCATGGAAAGCATATGGGTATGTCGTTCTCGATCGGCTCTGAACCCTTCTTGGAACATCTTATTTGCTCAACAAGAGTCCACTGGTTTGAGATGCACTCTATCGCTAAAAAAATATGGGTTGTCCAGGGAACTTCAATTGGGTGAGAAAAACGTGTCCCCTGGCAGCCGGAAGTTGGTTTGTCGTGTTTTGTCAAGCCATCCAGAAAAGGGCCCCCAGTTTGGGCTTTTTTGGGTCTATCTTTTCCCTTGGCTCCCAGCAACCGACAGGAAATCCAACCGAGAATCGGTACCCTTTGTGGGTTTTGCTTCAAAAAGCAAGAGGAATCGCACATCACCCATTTGGGCATGTGTCAAAATATGGCTACACCAACATCATGGGTGTCCTTTCGGTCCCTTTGAACAACCCCAAGACGTGTCCCAAGAAAGCCACGCCCATTTGGGCACGTCTTTTTGGGTGAACGCAATTTTGGTAGGCTTTACATGGACGCGAAAAGGAACGCCGTTGCGCCAGTTTGGGCGCGTCCCCCCCATAAAATAATTGCACCCCAACGAACTGAGGTGCAGCCAAGTACCTGCGGAGCCCACCAAGGAGTTAGAGCTCTGGAGGCCAAAAGAGAGCCGCCCCTCAGCCCAGGAAAGGTAACATATAAGCTTCTTGTCAGGTTCCCCTTACCTCATGAGTTCACGGGCTGTCACTTTCTGGGTTTGGACCATTTTAGTGGCAAAAAAGTCTTGGAGACTTTGTTTGGCCAGTCCACTCGTTCGGAATTGAGTTACTTGCTTTGGATTGGTTTGGATTTGGATTTGAAGCCCTAGTCCTTGTTGAGGGCACCTGGGAGCCTACCCCCTTCAGCTCATTCTTAGGTCTCAGGGGTTTGATTTCGTGAAATCATGGTGGGTAGGGGGACCCAAGCTCACAGAAAGACTGTTGCTCAAGTTGGAAAAGGGTTCTACTACTTCCCGGTGCTTCCAGGCAAGCCAGAAGAGTAGCTAACCAAGAGAAACCATGATGTCGAGCCTGGTAAGAAACCCGATTTTATGGGGGCTGGGGGGGAGGGGGAGGGGGAGGGAGCCCAAATAAGCCCTAAATAAGGCCTGAAAAAAGGGCTTAATATGGGTTTTCTCGGGCTCCCCCTCCCCTCCCTTCCCCCCAGCCCCCATGACGATCAGTTGCTTATCATGGATTGCCCGGAAGCACGGGCGTACGTTGCTTGGGAAAAAGGTGAAGGCTTTACATGGCCTCTGCGGCCATATTGGCAGAAGTGGGAGTCAACCGGGTTTGGGACCTGTGTGCAACCGGCGAAATGGGGATCCCTTCAAATCCTGACTTCCCTTGTGACAACCCCCCCCCCAAAAAAAAAAACAAATACAAGCATGAACAAAAAAGAGCGACACACCCATCGACCTGAGTTTGCCTTTGTAGACTGATTCCAATGCGAAAAGCCGCCTGCTTGGAAACTCCAAGGGTCCTGTCCCTTTTTTCCTCGAGGGGTCCACCTGGTGATTTGGCCGAGGAGGGTAAAACGAGCTCACCCAAAATGAGTGTTTCTTTTCTTCAGGGGTTTCTTCAGGCCGGTAGTTTCTAGGAATTACTTGTAGCGCAGCTTGAAAACTCTATGAGAACACCTAAGGCCCTATGCTTGCAGCTTCGGAGCTACTCCATGGCTTGATGGATGGTGAGGCCTCTTTACGCCTTTATGACCATAGTAGGTCCAACCGTCAACGTTTTTTTTGGGGTTGCTGATGTGAGTCACTGACAATATTCTGGGTGGTCTTCTGGTTTGGGGGGGGAGGGACCCATTTGCCGGGAACGACCCAATCCCGCGAAAAAGCTCGGCAGACCAAGCAGACGTTTTGTCCATGTTTTCCAATGGTTCGCGTTCGCCCCATATCCCCGGCCAGGCCAAACCTCTTCTTCGTCTAGGGCACATGACGAGTGTTCGATGCCATGGAGATCGCTCGGCAGGACGCGGAAAACTGGGGGGGGGGGGGGTTGTCTCTTCCTGGACCCCCGACAGGCCCCCTTGCTCCTGCCTTTGACCGGTAAGGCAGAAAAAAGGGGCTCCCTGGGGCGTGGTGTTTTGGATCCTGGGCTTGGATTTCCATTTGGTGTCGCTGTAAAAGATAAACACAATCGTAACCTGAAACCATACACAGGATGAGTGTCGTGTGAGGCTCACCAATCGCATATGCCAGCCTTGGGGTTGACACGTCATAGGTTCAGCATGAAACTGCCAAATGGATCCACGCAGGTAAGAAACTCCTGGATCACAGATGGTAAAGACTCTCACGTAAGAAAGAGAAAACATACATATATTGTTTCTTATCGATATATCCTTCCATCGCTATCCTCTTCAATTGCCTGCATGGCTTTTCTCTGTTTGGAGAAGTCAATACTATTAAGACACAGTTCTGCGTGATTGTAGTATTGGATGGCATCTGCTTACCAACTTCGCAATCTGCGCCTCATGCTCAAATGAGAGGCCCCAAACTTGTTTGGGTTGTTTTAAAGAACAACCAAGAGGCCGCCACAACAATGTTGTAACCCAGGACGACCATGTTGGGGTTCCTACTCTTTTTGAAGACAAGAAGTAAATAGGAGACTTCATCCCACAAATTCGGTGGTTCCTGTTCGGGTTGCCTTTCAAATCCAGGTGTTCCAATATTGGTGTGGTTTTGAGGGTGCCCCTTTCTTGTGGTTTTAAACGGAAACCAAAAAACAAACCACCATCATGTTGTTGTTGCTTCTCTGTAATTTCGGGGGGGGGGGTCCAGATCCTAAAAACGGCTCCCATTTTTTGCGGAGGCGCGCGTCACACACCTAGAGGTTCGAGAACACCGAGAGCTGACGCGAGCGAAGCTTCGGAGCGGGCGAAGACAGCGGGCGCCGGGCCGAGATGGTCCCGGCGATGCGAGGGACCTGGCCAAGGCGAGAAAGTTCCAACCGGATATGGAGCTTCCTGTTCAGATCTTGGAGGTTCTGGCGCATTCAGCCAGAGAGCATCGGCAGTTTTGATTCAGCCAGGTTTTTTTTTACACCTTGTTTGTTCTCCAGGATTTGAACATGACCACTTTGTGGCCACAGGACATAGGAGAAATATCTCGAGTTGATGTGGGACGTAAGGCGAGCGAAGATCATGGAAAAGCACCGACCCCTCCGGGCTTGCAGCGCGGAGTGCCCAGTGGATGCTGGGGTTTTGTCCTGTTTCTATGATTTTCCCGTTGAATTCCTTGTAAACACTGGGAATGGTGGAGGTCCTCTTTCAGGATACTCAATGCTGATTTTTCGTTCTAGATGTGCGGAAGCACCCCCTACTCAAGGCCCAGTTAGTTTGAGGCAGCGCATGTTGACAACATTCAGTCACTTTAGTGAACTCAGTTTGGTTGAGGTTGAACAGATTGCTTTAGCTCGGTGTTGACCAGTCCTTTGGCTCAAGGCAGACTCGACTCGGTGGAACTTGTCAACTGCTTGCCTTGCACACAAAATACGCAGTTTCACTCCTTGAGTTTGTGGACTTTAGTCACTTTGTGGGAAAACACGTTTAGTGGGAAAAATCATTTCGGACCTGTTTGGCTCCACTCAGGAGGTAAAAGTACTTGGCAAAGGAAACTGCCTCTAGAGAGCGAGTTCAAGAGCCATTTGATAAGTCAGGAGGCTCTGCAAGCATGACATGGGCTAGATTTCGTACTGGCAACACTAAATTAAGTACTGGCAAGCAATTTAATATGACTTGCGGGGCCATGAGCCATAGCAAAAGTGTCTATCTTTCCGCAAGGCCTAAGAATCATGGGGCTTGCACCATTTGTCGCAGTAGAAAGCGACACGTTTTTTGTTTTAACTTGAATCAGCCTCACCAGCAGAAGATTGAACTTTGCGTCCGCACAGCGGTGCTTCTTATCTGATGGGTCGCAAGCGTGGAGGCAATGCTGAGAGCACCTCAACTTGCAGCTGAGAGCGCCAGCCAAATGTCGTAGCTGCATTTGACATGTATGTGTATTTATACATATATATATATATAGATGCATTGATTAATATATATATATATATATACTAAAGCTCTCACTAGCATGGAGTCTGGCAGAAGTCCCTTCAAGGAAAATCAAGTTTTCAAAGGGGCTTCGGGCTTCTCTGGGGCTCTTTTGGTGGGACAAAAGGTACCACAAGCACTGATGCGACCGTGGCTTGGCGCCGAGACCCTTTTGGAGAGTGGATATGGAGCAACATGGTGGTGGATTTGGGCTTCTTCTGCACAAACCTTCCCAGGGTCCATCAACCACACCACCAAACAATAAACAATGGCGACATGGAAATCAACCAGCAAACATGCATTGGTGCAGAGACCATTGGTGCAGAGACCATCAGAGACCCTTTTTGGAGCTTCCTTCTCTTAATTCTCAGGGGACAACTAAGAAATGCATCCGAATTCCTCCAAGTATTGGATTTGGAATCCCGGTGAAGCCCATCTCAGGCAAGCTGTGTTGGCACTGCGGCGGCCGCGGTCACGACCAGAGCCAGTGCACCGCCATCCTTTCCGGAGATGCCAGGCGCAGCAAAAGCTGAAAGCACACGGCACAGCCTGGGTGTGCAAGTTTGAGTTCCTTCTTACATTGATTGGTGGTCCGTTGCAGTTTCTTGGGTTTTGCTTTGATGTTCCGTTGGTTTTGCTTTAGTGCTGCTGTAGTGTTCCTTGTTTCCCTTGGTTTCCATTCAACGTGACCCCCAAAACAGTCCCAGCAATGTTCCTCTTGGAATGATCACCTTGCAGTTTTAATTGCTACTAGGTCCCCCAGGAATGCCCTTTTACCCTTTTTCGGGGGAGGGTTCCCCTACTAAAATAGACTACAGAAAACAAGGTACCCTTGTTCTAACCTCTCTACTGGAGGACCTAGGCTAGGGCTTCCAACTTTGATTCTCCCAATGGAACGCCGTGAAAGTGGGGAGCCCAAGTCACTCCTTACCGGCCCCCGGGTCCCAACCACTGCTTTTCGATCACTTGGGTTTGGACATGGGAAAAGCAGTTGAGGGGTGTTGGTACCAGCGGATTTAGAGGATCCCACTATAAAAAGCAGGGGATGTTTGGATGCATCCTTCGACCGCAACCCTCAGAGAAAAAACCACGCACATGTCTGCGTCTCAAGCCAGGCATTGCTTCCTGTGCCGCTCCCTCGATCATATGAGTACAGAGTGCCCTCTGCGGAGCAATGAGCCCAAGCAGAAGGATCCGCCCTGGGTGAAGGACAGACGGCAGGGCAAGGTGGGTAGTGGAGCTGTGTCTTTCACGTGTTTGTTGTTTTTTCTCAAAAGGGCGGTCACTTTGAGATCAACTGTTTAATTATGCCAAAAAAAAGTCCTTTCTTTGGAGGAAGGTGTCTATTGAAATCATTTCAGCGGCAAACAGGTGGTGTTTTTTTTTTTCCATGGCAACTGGATAGCAGTTGTTTAGGGCCGAACAATGACGAAAAAGCAAGACATGTAACGACTAGATGTTGTAATGTAGCTCACAACCCCATTCTGCTTATGTAGGCTTTCATAGCATCTATAGTCATGTTCCAGTTGCACAGCTCGCCTGCGTTCGTGGAGCTTCCCCAGTTTCGACCTTGGTCGCAACCGTACCCAGGAGTTGCGCCAAGTTGGCCAGGCTCGGCAAAAACAAGCGCGTCGCGCGTGGGTAGAATGGGAATGTGGCAACACGGATTGGCAATATGCCACATGCTTGGACTTTTCTGATTCCTTCCTGATTTAGGTTCGTCGCCCGGGGAATCCCTGAAGATGGGTTGTTTCTGATTTCCTGTTTTGAACAGCCGCAAGGGGTTTCCGGAGCCTCAAACACACCCAACAAACGGACGCATCAGAAGTGTAGAGTCGACATCCAGTTTTAGGCAGGCCCTCTATTCATGCGCTGAATTAGTGGTTTGGATTGGTTTGGGGATTGAGCCCCTTTGAAGCCAAATGCGGAAGGTACCCATGGAAGGATGAAATGGACTACTTGCTGGAGCGATAAGTAGGGAATGAGGGACTGAATCTAGTTGGATCCGGGCCATGAGCCACTAGGTCCCCCAGTACTGCCCTTTTACCGTTTCTTTGTTGGGGGAGGGTTCGGGACCCTACTAAAATAGACAAAGCAGAAAAAACAAGTGGTACACAAAAAAATGGGTACCTTTATTCTAAGCTCCCTACTATAGACACCTAGACCATGTCTCATTCCCATCTCTCGCGCCTGTGGCAAGATGAAGGCCTTCCATCCACGGGACTCTGGGCCTTCGACGCCCCACTTCGGCAGGTGGAAAACGCGTCCTCGCGCTTGAGCGTGGTACCTCTGGCCCGCTTTGGTGTTGATCAACGAGATCCAAAGATCAAAGATCCCCATTTTAAGCTTGCTGGTTGCTACCCACCTTATTGCTGGTTTCATGGAATATCCCACATTTCTGGAAGACCTAGTCCAATTTTCGTGGAATCTCCATGAACACTGAAAGACCCCTGGCCATGCACTCTCACCTTCAAAAGACTTCCCATTCGTGGCGGGGCGTCCATGGACGCGGTTCAGAAGGTGAATCAGCCAGCTTTGTTTATTTATCCCGATTTCGGAACCGCAGGATAGGCCTTTAGTTGTTTGGCCCAGGAACCCACCTTTTTGAAGCTGGTTTAGAATGCGAGACTAAGGTTCGCTGACTATGGATCATAGGTTTATCGATGCTGAATCAACTCGTTGAGTCTATTCGAGAGGAGAACGGGATGCCGTACTTGAAGCTGAAGATAAGTTCTGAGACTATTCATTTGACTACCTGCTGATAAGTTCTGAGACTATTCATTTGACTACCTGCTGATTAGGGGTGACGAGTTTGCGACAGTCGCTTTTGGCTATTAGCCTTCAGACATCATCTGAGTGCTTGCAATTACCGTTGTGGTAGGTAAGGAAACCACAATCTGCAGCCTAAAGAAGAAATACGTGTTCACCTACGATGACAACTAGGAGACCCGGGTTGCGCAACAAACCCCCTCGCCTTTCGTTATGTAAGAAGGCTGTCCCTCCACTTTTTTTGCAGGCCCGGTAAACCGATGCTGAGGAAAAACAACTGATACCCTCAGAAGCCAAGAAGACAATCGGTTCGAACCGTCTTGGCTTGATGTGAGCTGTTGCCGAGAAGCTATACCATGCGATTGCTAAACCGAGGTTTCAGAGTGGGAAACTTGTAGGCTCCGAACCGATACTCAAACCGATACTCAGCCGATACCTAACCGATACTCATGCCTGCCAACTCTCTGCAGCTGCCGAGAACACGCCGTGTTTTTGTTTTGCTATCTTCATACCAACTGGAGTTCTCCTTCCTGACGACAGAGCCTGCTTGTGAATCGCAAACAAATAAGCAAGTCCGCGCGCCGGGCCATGTCAACGGCTTATGGTGCACTTAAAAAACTCGTAGCCCCCGAAGCATTGTAAACCGATGCTGAGGAAAGAGACACGGTAGACTAACCGATACTAGGGTCTAAGAGCACAAAGCTTTCACTCAGCGTTTGATTGGACCTTTTGAACTTTTTGGACAGCGACTTTCCCGAGTTGGTTTTCCAATTGCGGGTTCCATAGGGTCTAAACAAGTCCACCGTTCATTTCCTGTGTGAGAAGCCACTAGAAGAAAGGATCGAGAAATCACAAAAGGCCTTGAGTAAACACAAAAAAGTTGATGAAAAGGCAAACCCGTGACATCCTCCTTGAGCATAAGCATAAGCTTCCCCCCCTCCCCCCGCGCAAAGGCGGAGGTTTTTGGCGTTTTGGATAGGGATTTTCTCTGCTTGCCGTGCTTGTGGAAAGTAATCGTCGGGCAGTGCCACTTTGAAAGGAAATCCCCCAAAAGTGAGGGAATGACAGCATGAGGGGTATTTTCTGTTGAGTTTGGAGGATTTGAAAGTGAGGCTCCCCCAAGATTCACGCAAAATCAAGTAGTGAGGGAACGACCCTGTTGGCACATTTATGCTCGCGTTCACCAGGCCAACCCTCGGAGAACACGGAAACCCGCGACGGGCCAACAAAACTAGGTCCCCCAGTAGTGCCCTTTTACCGACTTTTTTGGGGGAGGGTTCCTCTACTAAAATCGACTACAGAAAAAAGTTAGTACCAACTTATTCTAACCTCTCTACTGGAGGACCTAGAAAAAGCCGAGCGCTTCGAGCGCCGCGCGCTTTGACTCTTAGAAAAAGCCGAGCGCTTCGAGCGCTGAGCGCTGTGCGCGCTGATGAGGTGATTACCACCAGCCCGGTGCCCAGCCATCCGGCCACCATGTGCCTGGCCTGCAAGGGGCACACGCTTCGAGAGCAGTGCCGCTCCTTTTTCCCGAAACTATCCTCCCCCCACTCCTTCCCCCCTTCGATAGCAGTGCCTCTCCAAGGTCCACAAATTTTAGGATTTGGACCCCCAGAATGGCATCGGTTTTGTTTTCAAGGTCCTTTTGAAACCACCATGAAAAGGGGTAGCAACTCAAAAAAAGAGAGACGCCGGACCTGGGGGGGGGGTTATCGTGTTTTGAGGAGAATGCCTTTTTTGTTTTCTGACAAAAGAAACACCAGGAAGCAAGAGAAAGCCTCCTGTCAGCTTCTTGAAGGTCGGACCCCCAAAAGCTGTGTTTTTCCTTTGGTTTCCATTTAAACCAACCCAAAAAGGAGTACCAACTAAAAAAACAGTAGATTGCACAACTGTGGCTCGGAACTGGCCATCTACCGATTTACCAAACAGTAGATTGCACAACTGTGGCTCGGAACTGGCCATCTACCGATTTACCGAAAGTGTGTGACATCTGCAAGTTTGGCAACGAACCAAGTTCAATCCAAAGGCCAAATGGATGGCTTCCCTTGTTTAACTCCCAAATGGTGTCCCCAAAGCGGGACGCCAGTGTCTCCCCGTCTGAAAAAAAGCGGGCAACCAGCCCTGGTCGGGTTCTCGCTTTGCCGTCTAAGTTGGATGGCCGAAGAAGCACCGGGGGACCCGCTCGTAACTGTTGCTTGTAGTCTATCTTAGTAGGGGAACCCTCCCAACTAAAAAAGGGGTGAGCAAGGGCACTAGTGGGCGACCTGGAGAATATTCCAACACCTGAAATAGGAATTGCATCCCCAAACATGAAGGTCGCTTCTTGGGGGAATTCCTTGCAGGTCTTACTTGCCCAAAGGATCCAGAACAAGAAGGTGATCACCTGTTGGTTCCACTAAAAATGGACCATATCAGGGAAACCAACAGGTTAAGAGGTCGGCCTTGAACAAGTGAGTCTTGAATGGTCGAGGAATCGTTAAATGCTTCGTAACCATGGTTATAGCCAATCAGTTACTAGTCATTTGAATAACTAAGTCCCGGAGCATCTAAGTTGGTTTCTCGTTTCACTTCAAACCAACCTGAAAAGGCGGCTACCCTGAACAGCGCACACATACAAAGACACGCAACCACACAGAGACAGAGAGACACAAAGACACACACACACACACACATGCATAGGAGAAAACAAAACCAAGCTGGCGTTGAATCTTTAGAGTTGGAAGCTCCTCACATATGGTTGGTACTCCATGCATACCCTCATGTAAACGATGCCCAGCAAACAGTGTCTAATTGAATTGCGCACCTGTCGGCCCATCTGGTACAAAATCATCACCAAATCCCATCACAATGGAGCCGCCAACAAGCTTCAGGCTCGGCGTTCCATTTCCTTTGTTGCATTTTGCTTGGATGTTAGGACTTTAACTTTTTGCCAACTAATGGTTTTTCCTCATTAAACCACTAAAACCTGAACATAGCGGGCCGCACATAGCGGGCCGTTGAGGCAAGCGGATCGAACAAGCGTGGGATTAAACCACTAAAAGTTAAACTTTTAGCAAGGGAGCAGAAGGCAACCGGGTGTCCGTGTCGATGAGACGTCCTTAGGATGCTGGAGGCGGTGATCGCAAGCTTCCAGCGGGTGAAGGGCCTGGCGCAGTGTCCGCTCATCATCGTTTGCGACGGCGGCACGGCGGCAGAGGGATGTCGGTTTCCTGGTGGTGCCCTGGTTTTCCCTATTTTTGGGAGCCCATGTCTTCCTCCCTGAGTTCCTGGACCCGGCTGCCCAGTTGGTTGCTTCCTTTTTTGCAACTGTTCTTTGGGAGGGGTTCCTTTTTGCAGTCAACCAACCAAACAGGATGCCGATTCTTGTTTTCCCATAAAAATCACTGGGCATCTGAGTTGGCATCAGTCCGTTTTTGGCGTTTAACAGTTGAGCTCCTTACATGTCAACCACGAAAACGGGGGGCGCAACGGAGGAACCCTTTCTTTACCCATTTTAGTTGACTAGGTTCCCCAGTAGTGCCATTTCTCATCAACTTTTTTGGTTGGGAGGGTTACCCTTATTCTAACCTCTCTACCGGAGGACCTAGTTGAGGGTGGCACGCAAATTTGGAGAACATGCCCATTCTTGGGTATGGTTTGTTAGAGATGGCCATCAACCTCTTAATAGAAGTCTTAGACAACCAATGTAAAGGTTCCTGGTGGAAGCATGACTGTGAACTGCACATTTGAAGTTTTGACCCGGTGAAAGGGTTAGCCTCAAAGACACATGTAGAAGCAAAAGTCCATGGGTGAACAGGTCGCTGGTCATGCAGGGTTGTTGAAGCAAAACGCGGGGAACCCTGCCCTCCTTCCTCCGCGAAAATTGAAGTAGTGATTGATTCATTCACCCCTCTTTTACACTTGGGTGCGTCTTTTTTTAGAGCCCCCTCCCAAACAAAAAAACAAGTGCGTCAGCGTCCCTGTTGGTTCCCTTTTCAACCACAAAAAGGGGAACCCTCAAAAAGACACACCCACCTAGATATGTCTAACAAGAATAAGTCTACAGATGAATCGACCGCAAATACATTGTTCCCACTTGCGTGCCAGATGCAACGGGCACGCATTTTCTGGCGTCCCTTCAAGACAACAACATGGACAATTCCTAACTTCTCAAAAATACGAGTCAAATGGCCTGAAAGATGCATGGCCTAGCCATAAAGTGGTTGGATTCCGTGGCCTAACTTTTCAAAATGGGAATCATGGGCCTGAAAGATGCATGGCCTAGCCCCTCTTCAGTGGTTGGATTCCGTGATCTGACACACCCGAATGGCCTTTTCACAGGCTTCAAGGTCTTCAAGAAGACCACCTGGAAAGCTGGAAAGGCGCGGGCGCCTGGCGTCCCCTGTTCAGTCGGGGGTTCGGACTTTGGAAGACTTGGTTTCACTTACAGCCTTCTGGGATCCATGCTGGTCAGTCTGAGGGAGTGTATGCTTTTGTTAACCCCGGATGAAGCAGAACCCCTGGTTGATTTTGATCGGGGGGGTGTCCAATTCCTTTTCGTGGTTGGATTCAGACCACTTGAGGGAACAGTCCCCTAGTGGGATTCGGGTTCTACTTAGATCCTGGGTCCACATTCAACTGGAACCGCCAGGTACCCTCGCCGCTGGTTCGGTTCCACCAAGGCCAGGTTGGCTCATAACCCTCGTGAGGGCGCAGCTTTTTGGATCCACTCAAAAGGGGCTGGAAATATCATGTGCAATTTCGAACAGGTGCGTGAGCGACGTGAGAACGACCTCACGCGGCCGAATTCACCCGAAATGGTGGTTTATGTGGGGAATATCCCCCCCAACCACCTTATTTCAGGCTGGTGAAACATTATAATTCACCCCAAAAAATTATCGCCGAATGACAAAGTTCGGAAACCTGCCAGGAGTGCACGGAAGAAGCGACCTTGATGGGTGGAAACACACGCCCAGCTTTTTATCTCCTAAGCTCGTGATAGGCCCCGACGCCTGGAGAGGCAACTTTGGTTGGCTTCCTGATGGCTTCCCTAAACCACTAAATGGTCCGATTTGGGTGTGGCTGCTTTTTAGGGGACTAAACATGGTGGTTGACACCTTTTGGTTTCCTGTTCAAACCACCAAAACAGGGGTCCCATCAAAAAAAGCTACACACACACCCATTTAGATTAGTTCCCTCTGGTGCCAGCGCATTCGATGGGCCAGGTCACTGACGAGAAGGCGGCCAACTATGAAGAGTACAAGTCCGATCCCTGGGCAGCATGTAATGTCGACTGCGGATTCATCAACTCGTGGGTTGTTTCCGCGTGAAGGATCTCCTATAAAATGGGACACTCCCGTTTTATGACATAGGGTGGATGGACGAAATCCTTCACCACCCTAACAAACCCTGAAATGGTGATTTCCCTGCAAATTCCAACAAGCAATGGTTTCCTATGGTTTCAAAGTGGTGTAGGATTCTGTCCATCCACAGTAGGGTGGACTAAATGCCTAGTAAGGGGGAAACAGGAGGCCACTCGAGGCCACTCAAGGTCATGGGGTTGTCTCCAAAGGACCATCGCCCCATAATTTGGGCGGCTTGTTTGGCGTTTTTGCCCGGAAATGAGCGGCTTTTTGGCCACCTCACCAAATGCCAGTAGCTATTTTTGTGGGGCGCCTAGATTTATGGTCTGCCAGTTTGGGATGGGCTCCTTTTGCTTCAGGCCGTTTCAGGCCAGGTGCAGAGCGGCCACCACTCCCATTTTCTAGCACGGGTAAAGAACCCCGTCCGCGACCGTTTGAAGGTGTTTCCGTGAAACACGTATTTCACAGGCGCAGATGTGCCCCGGGAACTAGGTAGCCCATGTGAAATGTTCCCCCCAGGGAAGCCACCAGGGATGTGACAAGTTGCAGCTTTTTCCAGACCCCTTGTTTGACACCCTGTCTCTGAAGGAACCTCTGGAAAAAAACTGGGAAGTGCCTTTCAGGTAACCCCTAGTTGGTGGTTTGGGGATTTGAACCGCTGGGGTAAATGGGAAACCACCCGGAACACCACCAAACCACCAAACCAAACCTCTATTTTGTGGGAAGCTGAAGCATGACCTGCGCGTTTGCATCGACTTTTGTTTGAGAGTTCAGGAAACTCATAGGGAATTCGCCTTCTGCATTCGATACACTCAGCTTCAAAGCGAGCCTCTTTGGGCCAAAGAAGTCATATCGCAAAGAAGGAGTGCGTTAGATCGCTCATAATTGTCCAGTCCATGCATTTGGGAGGGACATGGGGGAGGAGTTCGAAATGTCCCACAAAGCTAGGGCAGTAGCAGTGAGGCTTGGCTGTGGCTTTTGTGGGGATGTGGCAAATTAGGGGCACTGAAATGTTTGCAACCTCAGGGCACGCTTTGTTTTGGGGAAAAAATCGTTTTGTGGCTTTAACGGAAACCAAAAGGAACACCCCATCCATTTAGGTTTGTGCGGGTTCCCTGCGATTGAAATGCACCCATTTGAAGGCAGAACATCAACTAGGTTTTCCAGGATCGTGCCCGTTTACCGTTTCCCTACTAAAATAAACAACTGAGAAAAAAAGAGAAAAACACACGCACACACAGACACAGACACAGACACAGACACAGACACAGACACAGACACAGACACAGACACAGACACAGACACAGACACAGACACAGACACAGACACAGACACAGACACAGACACAGACACAGACACAGACACAGACACAGACACACACACACACACACACTCACACACACCGGGTACCCTTTTTCCTAACCTCCACCTAGGAAATGGACCCTATAAACTATTCCCTATGGTTGCCTTTAAGGGAATCCCCAAGTTCATTTTTGTCATACCCTATGACACAAGCAAGTTTGACAGTCAAGCAAGTTTACCCTAGGAAATTCCTAACCTCTCAAATCTGGAGGACCTAGTCAACTTGTCTGCACTTCCAGCCATTACCCACTTGCAAGCCAAGAATCTGAAGAAGCTGCAAGACGACGGACGCCTACCGGCGGGCAGCAAGCTGGTGATTCTGGAGGGCCACAATGGACAGGCGCGGCTGAGGGGTCGAAGGAAGGAAGACAGGAAGCTTGTTGGTGGTGTTAAGCATCACTTTCTGGGCTCATGTAAGGTGCGTCTTCCTTGGTAGGGGTGATGTTCTGAAGCGAAATGTAGGGAGGAAGGGAGGGAAAGAAAGGAGCGGGGCATATCCAAGTTGACAGGAAGGTTTTGACAGACCACAGTCCTCTTCACCTGGCCTCCTGTCGACTTTCATGATTGTTGGACGAATGGTAGAGGCTGGTACGGTTGCTGTCATGTGTCTCTCTTTTGTACTCAACGAGTGTATGTGATTTGTTGTCTTGAAAAAACCACATGGATGATTTATGGGTGAAACCTAGTTGAACCCCAAAGCATCTAGAGGGTTGGTGTCATGATAGTTGCATGTCAACATATTAAAACGGAAAACCGAATTTCCCAAAGCCAACAGCCGCAGCTTGCGGAGGATGCTGGCTGAAGTTGGTTTCTTGAACACTGGCCCAGCGGGTGTCCAGCTTGGACAAGCCAGCCGGGGAAGCATGTCAGCGCAGGCTTTGTCATGTTTCGAGCTTGGAGGGACTTATGAGATATCCCAATCCCGCTGAAGTTGAATCAGGGGGCCTGGGCCAGACCTAGGTCCCCTTCCACTTTAGCAAGGGATGAACGAACTAAGGCTTGGTTTGAAAGGGACACCAACATATTATGATCTTCAGAGGACAAGCCATGGCTTCAAGACGAAAACTGCTCTGGTCAGACCAGGATCCCGGCTCAATCCCTGGTCTTGGGTTCAATCCTTATCGGGAACCTTGCCATATGTGTGTGTGTGTGTGTGTTCTTGATTGTTTGCTTGCTGGCTGGCTTGCTTGGTTGGGCTTGGCTTGGCTTGCTTGGTTGGGCTTGGCTTGGCTTGGCTTGGCTTGGCTTGGCTTGGCTTGGCTTGGCTTGGCTTGGCTTGGCTGTTCGTTTGTTTGTTTGTTGGTTAGTTGGTTGGTTTGCTTGCTTGCTTGCTTGTTTGTTTGTTTGTTTGTTTGTTTGTTTGTTTGCTTATTTGTTTGTTTTTCTTGTGGCTGGATACGGCTTTTGCGGGTTGGAACGGGACATGCATGTACTGGACAGCCACCATGGTCCATGTCCAACTTTTGAATACCATACTTCAGGATACCCTTAGTTGGCGGTTACAACGACTTAGCTGCCTTTTTGCCAATTCAGCCAATTCAGACCTTCACCACCGGCCTTGCGGCCATTTTAAGCACCTTGCGACCTGACTCATTTGCCTTAAAAGACCAAAGAAATGATGAAATACTACAACACTTGACACCAATGGTAGTTCTCAAAACTTGGGGGTCCTTGCACACTCAAAAAGACACCTAAGTAATACTAATGTACCACTAGTAGGTAGCCAGATGGTGTCCCCTTATGTAAAACCTAGAGGTAAAAGATTCTGACACACAACAGCGGCCGGCCGGCGGCCTGACCACTTTTTGTAGCAAAAAGGCGCCACAGGTCGAGGGGGACCTTCCCCATTCTTTCCAGGGATCCTTCTTTCTAGAAAACCACCGGTTAAACCCTGGGGAAATGGCGATCGGTTTTTGGAAGAAAAACGCTGGAAAGAATCGAAGAGGAATCAACCCCTAGAATAGTAGGTAACCAAGGGCTCCAGCCTTTTCACACCAAAAGGTAAAATTCGCGAAGGGTTACCTACCACAAAGGTAACTGGGATTTACTGGGGTTCACTAAAGACCAACCATATGATGTTTGTTTCTGCGAAAGCGGTAGGGGGTTGGGCCATACGAACCGTGTTTTAGCCCACGGCACGAAACGGCGGTACAGGCCATGGCTGTGAAGGCCGGCCTCAAGGAGGTGGACACGCCTTTGGTCTGCCGGGCGCTGATTCGTGCTGAACGCGGGGGGGGGGGGGGCGTATTTAAGTCTGACTGAAAGAGAGCAAATGGACAGGATGCACCTTTCGCAGGGCCCAACTCCAATCACTACTTTTTTGTGGGTACTGAAGGCCTTGTAAGAGCATGTCTCTTGAATGCCGCTAGTTTGGATGTCAATAAATGTGTTCTGCACGAGGGGCAGACAACTTGCAGGTGGCCAGGGACACATCCGTTGGTTGGCAAAATGTCAAAAGGGGCCTTTTATGGTCACAAGGACCCGCAATGCCTGACGTCCTTTGCATGACGTCCTTTGTCTGAGTTCAAAAAATATGTTCCGCGAGGCCTGCGAGTAACCCCGGCGTAGCCAAATTCCTGGCGGGAAAGAAAACCGCGCAGCCTCCGCGTAGGTAATGTGCTTTCAGTGTTACAGGACTTACAGAGTTCAAAAAAGCAAAAGTATGGCTCACATGAGCGACGGACTTGTTGCTTTATCAGGGTGAGGGTTCTCAGCAGGGGATCCTTATAAACCATCCAACTGGCGGTTTCCTTTAAGGGGGACCTTATTCTAGCCTCTCAAAACTCGAGGACCTAGTGTTGTTTGGAATGTTTGGCTCCACTCTTGGCTTCTGGTGGTAAAGAAAAAAATCCATCGTCCGTTTTCTGCGTTACTTTTGGCTCAGGCATCCATCAGCACGATCTGGAGTTCACCTTCGATTTCGGCCCGCGGCTCAGCTTCGGGCCTATGCCGGGTCACGGGGGCCGTGAGAGGTTTGGGGGGGGATCGCCCTCTCTTTTTTTTTCCGGATGTACGAGTCTGCCACAATATGATGTTGGATGATACTCAGGTTTCTTCCCTATATAGACTAGGTCCCCCAGTAGTGCCCTTTCACCATTTTGTAGGGGGAGGGTTCCCCTACTAAAATAGACTACAGAAAAAAAGGGTCCCCTTATTCTAACCTCTCTACTGGAGGACCTGGATGATGTTTGATGATACTCAAGTTTCTTCCCTATATAGAGATACATGTATATACATACATATATATATATATATATATATATATATATATATATATTTATACAAATATATACATACATATATATATATATATACATATATATATATATGTATATGTATATAGATGTTTCATTGTGAGGAAAAACGTCTGACATGGCATGCCCGCTCAACTGAGTTGGCTGACTTTCACATTCGACACGGCCTACAAACAGGCAACGCCAAGAGGGACTCTGGGGTGGCTCCAAATGTTGCACAAACGCGAGGGAGACACACACCCGGCCAAGTTGTAGGCTCACTTGTGCTATAATCAAAGCCTCAGTAATTGGAGAGTCAGAAACGCCCCCTTGCCATAAATGGGGGAACGGATATCCGCCTTTTCGATTCTTGAATCATGGTTCTGGGGATCGATTTTTTAAATTCCGGGTTTTGAGCAAGTGACTCACTTGAGCTCATGTGAAGGCCTCGACACGGTTCTCGACTTGCTGGAGGACGGGAGCCCCGTGAAGTATGTGGGCATGCCCCTCCTGGCGTCCAGGCGAGCAGTTCAGACGATGCCCGTTAGGAATGGATGCATTTCTTTAGAGTTCCCGTTTAAACAGAGGGAACCACCCCGATTTGGGGGTTGCTGTTAAGGGACACCGACATTGCGAGTAACTCCATTTCGGCAGTAGCACCCTATGAAACAAACTAAAAGTGGCAGCCCAACGACTTTTTGCCAGGGTCGCTGGGCAAAGCTTTGACTTTTCCTCAAGCATGAGTTTGGCGACGCCGCCAGTGCGGAAACCGTGGCCGATACTACCCAAAGATCCAAACATGGAATGCTATACACCAAAACAACAATTTATCATTACCATGCCTGTTGTTCATCCTTATCACATGCTGCCTCGCGTTTGTCAGGCGTAGGAAGTTGCTTGCGTTTGTTGTATCATTGACATGACATGTGGATCCGCCGGGTATTAGAACCGTGAGTGGCGTTTTCCTTCTGCCTTCCAAGGCTCGGGTACGATTTGGGGGGTTGTTTTGAAGGGACATCGAATGGAATTCGCCCCTACTTTGGCGTTGTCCCCTGTGCTCTAGGGTTGTCCCATGTTTTCTGGGGTTGCCCTGACACATCCAGATGCACAAGCGCACAAGCTTCCCGGCTCTTTGAAGCCTGTGCATGCTGGATGGGAAGTCAATGTTTGGATGCAAAACCACGCGCCCCAACCATTGCAGGAGGAAATCCCACGCTGGCTGTCTTGGTCCCGGCTCACGGAACGAAATGACGTAAATCTGGATCAACCACTTGAGCAGCCTTCCAAATTGTGGTGATTGCAAGTGTTCGTGTTTGGGGATCGTGTGTTGGATGCACGGAGCAACCCTGTGTATGTCAAAGAGGGATACGGGCTCCATTGCAACTCGTCCCTGCAAAGTCGAGCCCGTGGGCTGAATTCTGCTTGCGTGGCATTTGGAGTGGGGTCAAAGAAACGAGCTGGTTTGACACAAAGCAGTGGCAGTAGAGATTGGGTCTCTTGAGCACGTGGAGCGATTTGGTTGAACACAGGTCAGCGGTGAAGACGTCAGCTTTTGCTACGTTGACAGAGACGGTGACCACTGTTGGTGCTGCTATTACGATTACATGACTATTACTATAATACTCTATTACTAATACTATTTTGGTTACTAATGCTAGTACTATTGCCATTGCTATTACTTCGACTGCTACTGCTACTACTTCCACGACGACCACTACTACTACCACTACCAATTCCACTACCACTACCATTTCCACCATTACCATCCATTACCACTTCTACAATATGATTTGTTATTCCGCCTTGCGCACTACCACGAGATGAGGTGAACCTTCACTATGAGGGCATTGCCTTCCAACATCACGGCGTCCGCGTAAAGCCGGAGCTGCATGAGGGGCTTAGCTTGATGCCGCACCTTGGATGCAGGCGCCATGGAAATGTGGGGTCCACCCAAGCTTCCCGCCAAATCTAGGGGGACAACCCAAGGTTTGCTAGCCTCATGTCAACTACCCGGGGCTTAGTACCCCTGCTCCAAAGTGATGCATGGTGACAACCCAATTGTTCCTTGTCCTTTTGAGATGCAATTTTACCCGTTGCTTATTTGAGGTTCCGTCCAAATTCTGTGTTTGGTTGATCACTTTGAAAGGGTCATTGGACTCTTTCGTCCCGCAAAAGTGCAGGGGTGTCCATAAATAGCATGGGCCACACTATGTGCCAGCACGCAACTGGGCAAGCCATTCTAGTGAGCAACTCAAGGGAGCATCCCTGGTAACCTATGATAGGGAACCAAGGGAAACAACCCCGAGCAACATTGTTAACGGGCTACAAAGAGTTTACTACCAGAAATACTTAGCCATAGGGCAACCAACGGAAACCGTTGGCCATAGGAGCAAAAGGAGAGGAAAATCCCAGTGAACCGTGAGACCCTTGGAACTAGGAGCCGCCTCAATTCCCTCAAACCGATGCTTTGGCTTGCCGAATCCAGCTGTCTGCCAAGGATCATCTTCTGGTACGCTTCTTGGCTGCAAGTTGGTTCCTGAACACTCACGTGACCCTGAAGGTCAGACCCGGCAAAAACGACGAAATGTGTTAGCAGGGTGCGAAGCAGCTTGTGTGTGTGTGTGTGTGTGTGTGTGGGTGTGTGTGTGCCTGGTCGTGTGGTTGTGTGTTCGAGTGGTTGTTTGTGGTGCGAGTGTGTGCGAGTGTGTGTGTGTGTGTGTGTGTTCGTTGTTGCTTGCTTGCTTGCTTGCTTGCTTGCTTGCTTGCTTGCTTGCTTGCTTGCTTGCTTGCTTGCTTGCTTGCTTGCTTGCTTGCTTGCTTGCTTGCTTGCTTGGATATTTCCCCAAGGGCCCTGCATGGCATTTGCAGATTCTTTCAAGCTGGCATTGTGCTTACGTCACCGTCTCATCGCCTCTTGCCACCTGAGGACAGCACTCACATCACCTCAGTGCGGCACTACGAGTCCTTGGTCTTTGGCCCAGACGAAGCTTGGCTTGCGACATTTAAATGGGCGTGTTTTTGTTTAAACAAAATTATTGGGGGGTCGTTTTTAGGTTAGTTAGAAAGTGGTAGCCAACCCACCAAAAGCGGAGTTAAGTCCACCAAAAGCGGGAATTGTGGGTTACAACCTAGGTGACCCCAACGGCATACTAACTCGGCCGACCTTCGGAGCTCCCGGGCCTTCGGAAAATATGTCAGCGTGCCTTAACATTTTCAAGTTAGATTGTTCAACAGGGCAGAGATATAAAACAAAACAACTCTGGACAAAAACATTCTGCAAGTACATTCTGCAAGTACATTCTGCAAAGTACATTCTGCAAAAAACAAAACTTTGCTTCAACAGCATCTAGATCCCCCAGTAGTGCCCTTTTGCCCTTTTTGGGGGGAGAGTTCCCCTACTGAAATAGACTTCAGAAAAAAAAGAAACACCATGGTACCCCAGAGCAGAACTACTGCCCACAACAAACCTATAGACTGCCAAACACCGATACGACGGCACTGGCAAACCTGCTCAAAACTGGCAGGAAATGGTCCACCAAACCCCGATGCCCCGGATGTTGCCGGTTCGACTGCTCCCACATAAGGTCTCTGGACAAATTAGTATGTGTATATGGACTAGATGTATGTATGGTCGACCAGCTCTTTGCAACCGGATGGAGGTCTGAGGCAATTCCGATCTACTTGGAAGCTTCATATTGGCAAACCCCAAATGGGCGCAACAGGTTCCATGTTGATTTCCATTAATCCAAAAAGGGTACCCTTCGCCTCAACACAAGACACACACACACACATAAGCGGCCAATTTCAAGTCAGGATGCGACTTGGGAACTGACAGCCACTGAACTCCTCGAATATGCCTAGGTCCTCCAGTAGAGAGGTTGGTGTTCTGCCTAGTCAAGTGATTAGGTAACCTAGGATACAACCGTTTTATTCCGGTAAGTTATTACCCAACTGCTTTTGTACCCTTGTGAACCCTGCATTGGCAGCCACTTTCAACATGAGGCTTTGCTCAATGGGTTGCAAATGTTCATGGAAAGCATATGGGTATGTCATGGTTGAGGCTCACCCTTTTCATTACAACAGTGGTGCCCACTGTTCCCGGATGAAAAGAGGTCTGGGTTTCGCGTGTCCAAGCCATTTCCCTTTCAAGGGCACCTCCAAAAGTGGCTTTCTCTTTTCAGTGGACACCCGTACAGATTGCTCGACTTTTGATTTGGGGAACTCCGGCTGGACCCCTGAACAGGGTCCCCGATATTTTGTCTCCTTTTGAAACTCCCCTCGCCTTTTTTGTTGCGCCTTTTTTTCTCCTCCCGTTTTTTGTTTCTCCCAGCGAGCGAGCGAACGAGCTGCGAGCCGTCCAAGCTCGAGGAAAGCTACGCGCCCGGGAACTTTGTGGAGGAGACCTTTGGTGCCGGAGAGCCCAGGTTTCAGATCCTGTCGAGGTCTTCTTGGGTCTTTCCCCCAGTGGGTCGTGCCGTTACTTGGACCGTTTCTTTTTTCTTGGTTTTGGGGTTCCCCTACTAAAATAGACAAAACAGAAGAAAAGTTTCCCTCATTCGAACCTCTCTGCTGGACCCCCTCCCCCCACACCCTCCCAAAAGAGAAATGCCTCGAGTGAGTAGACGCGGTTTGACTGGCGGTCGATGAACGGTCTGTCACCTAATTATGATACTGGAGTATGCCAGGCCCCTGGAAGGTTCGGCGGGAAAAAAGGTGTTCACCCCCCTTTGCATGCTCAAACCACCTAGTAGGTTGCAACCATAGCTACAACTGCGGATGGCGATCGCACTAGTTACCCCCAAAGAAAACCATGGTTATAGCCTACTAAGTGCCCAGTGCAGGGTCTACATTTGGAAAAACGACACCGAAGCATCATCGCAGCCTCCATTTGGGTCGAACCGGACCCTTCCTTTGGAAGGTTTTGGACCTGCCATGGGTGAGAACTCGAAGAGGAAGAATCGCTCAATGGTGAGCTTTTCCCTGGGGACTTACAACCAAGGTATATAACTGAGTAGCTAGGGTTATTGACCATTTAGGAACATGGTCTTCCAGCCCAAAACGTCAGGTATGTCCATTTAATGGACTTGAGGGTAGCTAACTCCCGACCATCTAAGTAGAGATTTAGATTTCTACCGATCTGATCTTGGTAGCACCTCCAAAGCTTGACTGTTGCTCAGCCCTTGAGGACCTTATCCACTTTTTGAGAAGACCAGTTTAGTTGTGAACTGAAAGTTTGAGCAATTTAGGCCAACCCACTCGTGTGAGTTTGAGGTGTTCCCTGCTTCCCTCTTGATAGTGAATCATGAAAGATTCAGTTTCCCAAAGCCGACCTTTGAGCTTTTGGTTTCCCCTTCTTAGGGTCCCAAAAACTTAACCTCTTATCTTTGGTGCATTTTGCTTGCATGTTAGGGCTTTAACTTTTTGCCAACTAGTGGGGTTTCCGTATGAAACCACAAAAAATTAGTCACTTTTAGCAGGGGAGCAGATTTTGCAAACGAGTTATATCTGGATCCGAACTGGGCAATTGAGATGTACTGATCTCCAACTTGGGCGCCCTCCTGACCACCCTCCATGGATGGGCACCGGGGTCATTGGACATCGGGACATGCTGGTTAGTCGGTGAGTTGCTGAGTTGGATAGCTGTTTGTTGGTTAGTTAGTTATTTAGTTAGTTAGATAGTGTTGTGTGTTTGCTTGCTTGCTTGCTTGCTTGTTTGCTTGCATGCTTGCTTGCTTGCTTGCTTGTTTGTTTTTTTGTTTGTTGGTGGGTTGGTTGGTTGGTTGGTTGGTTGGTTGGTTGGTTGGTTGGTTGGTTGGTTGGTTGGTTGGTTGGTTGGCTTGTTGGTTTGTTGGCTGGTTTGCTGGTTTGTCGGTTTGTCGGTTACCTGTTTAGTTAGCTAGTTTGCTTGTTTGTGTGTTTCTTTGCTTGTTTGCTTGGTTGTTTGCTGTGTTTGTTGGCTGGTTGGTTTGTTGGTTTGCTATTTACTTGGTTGTTGGTTTGTTGGTTTGTTGATTTGTTGGTTTGTTGATTTGTTGGTTTGTTGGTTTGTTGATTTGTTGGTTTGTTGGTTTGTTGGTTTGTTGGTTTGTTGGTTTGTTGTTTACTCGGTTTGTTGGTTTGTTGGTTTGTTGTTCACTCGGTTTGTTGGTTTGTTGGCTTGTTGTTCACTTGGTTTGTTGGTTTGTCGATCAGTGAGTGAGTTTGTTAGGCGCGTTAGTTCACCAATCTTGGGCTTCCCCAGTACCATTTGCGTCCCGCTGCCATCGAGGTCCGTCAAAGGAACGACATCATGGCCAACGGAATGTCTGCACATCCTAAATATGGGACGACGCTCGGAGAAGCAGGGGAAAAAGGGGAGGATTTGAGTTTTGGAGGGTCGCATTGCTGGCGCCTGGTGAGACAGACCTCGTTGCATTAGAGTTTGGATTGTTTTGCCAAACTGGCAAGCTCTGCTGGTGCATATGCATGTTCAAGGGAAGCCAGACACACAGGGACAGCAGTGCATTGTCAAACATGGAGCATGAATGTGGCGTGTCTTACTTCCAGAAAAGACGTAGGTAGTCGCCCCATCTAACAAAATGCACTGTGCAAGCTTGTCCAGATTATTCCAGATTGTGTTTTTTTGCTGTGCAATGTAGGTGCTGATGAATCGGAAGGGCCATGCTAACTCTGGAGCATGTTATTGCCCAAGCCTCTGAAACCTGGTGGTTGCCGATTTTTCTCAGAAGGTTTCAGTCCTTTACGTCTCCCCATACGTCCCCGTTGAGTTGACCGTTGCCATTCCAGGATTGCAATCGAAAAACTAACGCTCGGAACCTCAAAGAAGCGGAGCTTGGTTGTTTTTCCCCATTTTCCTCGGACCCAGCGAGCGAGCCAGGTTCCATTTGTTCAGGCATTTGAGATGCAAAGTATGCGCATAGCCTTTTGCCCTTTCAAATTGCTGACGATTCTTCAGGAAACAGCTTGCTGCGTGTAGGGCATAATTCTGGAGGTGTTTATTGTTTTCTTTTTTCGGGTACCCCCTTGTTTGTGGCTGTTTAAGAGACACCATGCAAGTTGTTGGGGTTCCCCGATAAAAAGAGAGAAAGAAGGATATCACGTTTGTTAATTTCACCATTAGGGAGCCCTCGGTGTACAACAAGCCTTCCATGATGCAGTTCCTGGATTCAGAAGTTGGTGAGTGATAGTTGTATGTTTCAGATCCAGTAGCCATCCATTTGACTGTGTCTTTCCTTAGGGGAGCTCCCAAATGTGGTGGTCCTTTGCAGTTTCCTCTTTAAAACCACAAAATGAAAAGGGTGGCCTCAAGAAAAGACCGACCCATTTGCAACCGCAAAAAGCATTTGCCAACTCTTCCCAACGTGTCTCGAAGGAATTGAGGGAACAAGTCGTATGCCGCGTGCCAGCCCGATGTGAAAGATGTGCTACAGTACCCGCAAAGCCGGGAAAAATGGGAGAGGGCTAAATGTCATGGGGAACCACCGAACGCATTGGTGAACATGAACCCCACTTAAATGATGTCCACGATGCCTTTTTGTAAAGTGGCGATATTGCAGGCCGCGGAAATCATCTTCCGCGATTGTTGCGCAAGAGTTTCCCGAAGTTTGAGTTGAACTTCGTATATGCACTCAGAGCGGCTCACTGCTGATCACTAAGGAGATGTTAAACCTGTTGATCAAATCCTTTTCGAGGGTTGGAGGCTTTCCTGTCGGGGGGGCTTCGATTTCGTGCCGAGTTACCTACAGTTCAAGGCTGCGAATCTGAAGGTTGCTTTCCCCAGGATTCATGAAGCCCTGATTGATTGATTCATTGGAGGGGTCGCCTGTCCTCCCGCTGAAAATGCGGGCCCCAAACAGAAACATCATGGCAAGCCTGAGAGCAACGTTGAATGTTCATCATTTATTGTGAGGTTGGGATTACATATATTTTTTGGGAAGGGGTATGTCTCACTAATTCTCATGTCATCATTGACTGTGACTCAGGCACTATGTTCAGTGACACCCTCCGAATCCCTTTTTGCTTTGGTTCCTCAGTACAATAATGTAATCTCACAAGAATAATTTGGTTCCAATGTTTCTCCTTCCAGGATAACTAAGCGCTTTCATGACCCAGCTACCATCCCCAATGCTACTGGGGACCCTGTCTTTGCAACCCCACAAACACTGTCTCTACCTTTTGGTTTTCAAAAACTCATCGCTTCGAAAAAGGGGGTGTCTTCTTTTAACCTTTCAACGCTATATTGCTCCAAATCCTTTCCCCACCCCCACACCAAAAAAAGGAACCGTTCCAAGCTATGTTGGGGCTCCAAATCCTAACCTCCCCCCCCCCACCCACCAAAAACTATGTTGCCCAAAGCCAACCTTTTGACCTTTTGGTTTCTCCTTTTTGGTCTAGTTTTAGTCGTGGCCCCAGAAGGCTAACCTTTTATTTCTGGGTCCTTTGGGCAAGTGAGAAAAAGGAAACAAAAAGCGGCCGCGAAATCCATCGAGGTATCACTACATCTCCCACAGCGTGGATGGCTCACGGCGGCCCCTCATCATGCACCTCAACGGCGTCAGGTTCCTCACGCCGGAGCAGCGGCTTGCGCTGGGCGCCGTGTCGCAAGATGGCTGTGGGTCAAAACCCTGTACCCCTTAGTGAACATCGTTCATCCACCCCAAAATGGAGCCATAGGTTTTGCCTCGCAAGGTTTGGCGGGGGCGGGGGGCCAAATGGAGGAGGGATGGCTGGTGTTTTGTAAGCTTGGACCTCCCCAAAATGGATTTCGGTTTCTTTTGATTAGCCACCAGGAAAAAGTTGCCCCAAAATCATCCAAACAACAAGACACGCCCAAAATGGGTCCTTTGGAACAAAAGTTGAGGTCCTTTGACATTTGGAATCCTTTAAACTAGTCTCGTTTAAGTCTTCGGGCCTCTTAGATGGTGTGGAGCCCTCTATAAAATAGTGTGGAATGATTTAAGATGGTGTGGATCATTTGATTTATTTATATATTGTATATGTTTTTGTATTGATGTAGATGTTTATTCATGTTTCATTGTTGTTATTTTTGTTTAGGTGTGATTTGCGTTGTGTTTATACATGTTTACACATGTGTGCTGTGTGTTTTGTTTTATGCATTTGATTACTTAATTATTAATTCATGTATGTATTGTCTTGTGTGCGTAGTACGTGTATGTGTTTACTTATTGATTTGTGTATTAATTGATTGTTGTATGTATTTATGTATTTAGTTGTTTTGTTGTTTGTTTGTACAATATCTATGTATTTAGTCATTTATTTGCATTTATGCATCTGATCATGTATCTCTTTAGCTATCTAGGTTTTTGTTCACAGTTGATTGGTTCATTCAATGTCGTATGTGTTTATGCATGTTTATGCGTTTACATGTTGATTTGCTTACATGCTTATTTGTTTACATGTTTATTTGTTTACATGTGTATGTTTTATTGCTTTCTTTTTTTTGCGGGGGGGCTGGCGGTGCTTTAAATGGTGGCTTTCATCGTGTCACCCATGTTTGTTCGTTTGAGACGGCCAGAGTGCTTGGTGGAGGACCCGAAGCAACTTGGGTTTTAAGCCACACGAAATCCGGCAACCCAAGGGGAACCCCAAGACAAGTTTATTTCCAAAACAAGTCCACTCTTGTTGACTCTTACCAGGTTACGTGTTTCTTTTTGCATTTAAGAAAGTGTTTTTTTTCAAAAACACGTCCACTCTTGTTGACTCTTACCAGGTAACGCAGGGTTGTGGGATCAAGGGTTTTTTCCCCACTTCTGTGATACAAGGGAATTCCCCTCTTTATATGGGGGGTAGTCTTTGGGAGGCCCTTTTTGTTGTATCACAGAAGTGGTCATTTCCCACAGCCCTGAGGTAACGCTTTTCTTAATTACTTGCATTTACATGCCTCTGGGAGGGCTCTTTTCCCCCCGGCATTCCCCAATCTGGCAAACCACCCGGAGAGGGTCCCGATTTCGGTTGGAAGGGCTTGGTTTACACGGAAACTCAGCTGCAAACACACACACACACACAGGGTGGCACAATCTAAGGGTTTTTGTAGTACACCCTGGGAATACACCCACTGGGTATTGACCCCATTTAGGCACATGTTCGGATAAAACCGTGCTATTTTGAACCATTCTGGGTCATTTCCTAAGGGTGTAATCCCAAAATGTAATACAAGAAACCCTCAGAAACACAGACACACAGACACACAGAGACAAACAGAGACAACCACCACACGCAGTGTTTGGAAGGCTTTCCTCCAGATCCTCCGGCGGCCTGGCAGCTCCGAGTGAGATGGACCAAACATGGCTCGGTCGGAGTTGGACTTTTATGCGTCGGAAGATGTAAGAATGGCTCAGAAATCCTTATTTGGGCCCATGTTCCTGGTCCTGTTTCCAGGGAACAAAGTCAGAATGGAGGCGACTTTTGTCATTCAGCCACCGAATTGCAAACTCTTTGGACTTGTGTTTCGCCAATCCACTGAGGAAGTGAGTATAGAGTGCCCTTTCCTTTGCATGGAAGATTAAAGTGGGAAACTACCGTTCCCGTGTGTTGGGACAGTTTGCACAGACAATACATACTGCTGGTAGTCTACTGTTAGTAGTCTACTGGTCTACTGGTTTACTGCTGCTTTACGCGGACGCAGAGACTCGCGAGACATATCCCACCAAATCCTTGCGGGGGAAAGCTGGGTATATTGATTTGTTGGGTGAACTCGCAGCATCTCGGAGAAAATAGCGGGACCGGGTTTCGCCACTGCGTCATGGTTTGGGTTCTCAAAGTCAGCAACTGATTGGTTGTTTCCCTTTTAGCTTGCCACGGGTCACAAAGCCAACATAATTTCAACTTCGGTGAGTCGGAGGACCGTACCAATGAGGGGTTTCCATGTGGGAAATGATCCATAGAAGGTTCCACTTAGGTTCCATCGAATCCGAAGTCAACATTAATGCCACTGTTTCGGGCCCCAGAAAACAATCCCCTGAGTTTGGTTTCCTTGAGCCCGTGCTCCGTTCAGCTCGAACAGACTAAACAAATAAATATTGCCGAGCTCATAATCCCTCCACGTGTTTCTTCATTCTTTTGGGGGCTAAGTCAGCCCTTCTACTGATAAATGCACCCCACGAAGAGCAGTCGTTATCCCGGACCCCAAATCTACGAATACTAATCAACTTGAATTGGATACAAGCCAAATCTAACCTACCAACTAGAACTGCAGAATTCCGGCCGATCCCAACTCCGACATTTCAAAACCAATGCTAGACCACTACTAAACCGATACTAAGCCAATTCAAAACCAGCTTCTGTTTGAATTCCTTGCTCGGAGCCAGAGCCCATGGGCCCCACGGTTGGTTTCCTTTCGGTGTCCCTTTCACCCCAAAAAATGGCCGAATGTGGGCGCCCTACAGTCTTCAGGTGTCCCTTTCACCAAAAAAAGGAGAAGAACCTGGAGTCTCTTTCTGACCCTTTAAAACTGGTTCGTAATTCCCCAAAATGGGGTCATGAGCAAAAAAAATGAAGGGATAATTTGGGGTGCCCTACGGTTTTTTCCGTTTCTTAAATGTCCCTTTCACAAAGAAAGGAATTGCTCATTTTTCAAGGGTCTTCCTGGAGACTCCAGGAAGACTCTGAACCATAGGTGTCCTTTTTGGTTGTTTTGGTCGAAAAATAGATGGGTTTCGATTCCTGGTTCACCTGGTGGTTGAATCTACCAGGGAAACCCATCTCTCCCCAAAAGGACGTCCAAGACGAAATGAACGCGAGGTGGAGTTCTATCCTTCCCGCACCATGACCAGTCGAAGGCAACGGAAGGCGCTTCGAATCGGTTCCGCTCGAGTCGGTTCCAGCGGGGTTGCCTTGGCGTTCGGTCGCGCGTAAGCGAAGTCGTTCTCGGTGCCTGGGGTCTCCTTCTGACCAATTAAAATGGGGTCACGACCCCTTTCTCTTGGGTAAAAGCCCCACTTTTGTTAAGGGTCATGGAGACTCAGGCTAAATCCAGGCAGACGAAATGTGAAGCAGAGTCAGGAAAATGACTTTCTGTGACCTTTTTTGTGGGCCAAGTATTGGTTGGTAGTGGGTCCGTTTGCCCGTTTTTGTTTTGAAGGCCCGTGATTTTCTACAATCAAAGTGAAGGGGGTTGGATCACAAGAGGTCGAGCCGCAAATTCACCCGACAGGTGAAGCACATCTTGGACGAGGTTTTAGAGTTCGCCGACGCATCTGGGACGAACGATTCTTCTGGGCAAATTATACTGATCAGGTCACCTTGAATTGGTTTGGATTGGTGGCTTGGGCATTTGAAGCCCCAGTTCTTGTACAGGGTAGATGAAAAAATGGAAAACGCCCCTAACCTCCAAGCCACCAATCGAAACCACCACTAGGTCCCCCCAGTAGTGCCCTTTTACCCCTTTTTGGGGGAGGGTTCTACTAAAAAAGACTACTGAAAAACGGGTATTCTTGCATCTCTAGCGTGAAGCTGAATTGACGGTTGGGTTGAGCTCCACCTGATCCCGAATCATTTTGACGGGTTTCAAAGTCGGAGACTGGGTTGATGTCCTTAAAGCTTACAAGGAGCTCGATGAGGAGCTTGAGAAGGGAGCTAAGGAGGCTTAGGAGAATATCAGGGCTTCAAACGAAACCTGAGGAAGCTCAGGCGGAAAAAGGAGCTGTATGATCCCCTTCAGTCTCCCACTTGGCTGGGCTGAAAAAAAACGGCCACCCTTGATTCTGGTCTTGCAGGGCGGTCAAAAAAAACGGCCACTGGCTCTTGAAAGGCCACCCTTGATTCTTTGGGTTGCAAAAGGGGTCCCATGTCGTTTTCCTCGAGGGATTATGGAGGGTTCATATTGGCAAAAAGGAGCACGACCTTGCACTTCAGGATTTGTTGACGTCACCCATGCGGCTCAAAGCAAAAGCGGATTCCCGGAAGTTGAGTTGGTGAATCAAAATAACTTGCACAGATCCATTCATCCTCCCTGTGATGTCCGTCGTACTCTTTCTACACTTTTGCTGGTCGCTGCGGATTTGCAATTGTCAAAGCTGTTGTGTCAATAGAGGATAAGATGCAACTAATCAAAATGAGGGTTGACGACTACTACAACTACTACTACTACTACCACTACTACTACTACGACCTACGGCTACGATTACGACTACCACTACGACTACTAACTACTAACTACCAACTACTAGCTACTAACTATTATCTACTAACTACTTCTACTCCTACTCCTACTCCTCCGTCTCCTCCTCCTCCTCCTACTACTACTACTTCTACTACTTCTATTACTTCTACTACATCTACTTGCACTTCAACTTCTACTTCTACTACTTCTACTTCGGCTACTTCTACTGCTACTTCTACTCCTACTACTGCTACTGCTACTGCTACTATTACTAAACTCACTACTACTACGTACTACTACTACTACCACCACCACCACCACTGCTACTACTACTACGACTACCACTGCTACTGCTACTACTACTACGACTACTACTACTACTACTACTACTACTACTACTACTGCCACCACTACGACTGCTGCTACTACTACTACTCCAAACTGCTGCTACAACCTACTGCCACATCTTCCTCGTTTTCCTGAATCGCAATGTCGAAGAGTCCGTGGTCCATGAATCAGGTTGATATGGAGTTCTCCTCCACCGTGCGAAATCTGCTGTCCAAGATGCTGAACGACACCCGCGCCCTGACAAACACTCAAGATAAGTGGGCCTGTTTTTTGTGTGGGTGGACACAACCCTGCGCCTGTTGGGATGGATGCAGCCCGATGAGGATTGGAGTAAAGCCACCTGATATACGATGGGATGTCATGTGGTAGGGGAACCCCAAACAGATTTTTCCCATTTCAACCCCTTTTCCAACAAAAAGCTGTATTCACATTGTCGAGACATTCAAACAGTGATTCGACATTGTGGCAGCATGTCAGATGTCAGAAAAACAGATTGTACAGATACCCCTGTTTTGTGGGGCATTGCTGAACCTTGCTAGGAATGTGTCAAATCTGGATTTGAGACCCTGAAAACGCGTGTGTTTGCCTGTTGGTTCTTTTTTGGCAAGACAAGTTGCCTTCAAAATCATAAACTCGTATGCTTTTACACCCCCCGTGGAAGGGAGGACCCTTTCCCTGAAACATGTCTCTAGGCTTGTGGGAGCGTGTACATGGTCTCCAGGTCATCGCCTGAGCGCACCTGCATATTCCTGTTTAGCTAAGCCATACGAAATAACATAAATAAAATAAAGAATACAAAATAAAAATATATAGATTATATGATATAGTATATATATAATGTATTTCTCTTATTTAATCTATTTATAATTATATATAATAAAATAATTAATTTTTACCCTGAGCGTCCAAGGCCTCTCTTAGTGAGGCCTAGGCCTCGTTCTGGAAGAGAGGCCTACTTTCGGAGGCCCTAGGGCCTTACTAAGTAAGGCCTTAGGCCTTACTAAGTGAGGCCTAAGGCCTTAAAAAGTATGTTCCTAAACAAGGCCTAGGCCTCGAAAAGTATGTGTGGCAATCTTGAATAGTTTTGGGACCACCTTTTTCTTCAAAGGTGCCAGAGGGGATCCAGCCACTGGACATCACCTCAGCTGTTAGAACTCGAGAAGTGGCAATGCAGTAATTTAGGACCCTCAATCTCTTATCGCACAATGTAGAACCCTCGATCTTTAGTGCAGTACCCTCGATCTTCATGCAGAGACCCTTCAAACAATGTAGGACACTCGATCTTCAGGGACCCTTCAAACAATGTAGGACCCTCGATCTTCCAGGAAGGAACATGAGGGCAGCCATGGCGTCTCATGTGCTGGAAGTCTACGAGTATGGGATGATGGCGCAAGGTGCGCCCCTTCCTTTGCTTGCATGCACCGTGGCCCAGTTGTATCGATCGATCCGCACTGATTCGCATGCTCAAGAGCGGCAATATGAAATGATGACATGACATCATCGGTATCCAGGATCTAAAATATGAAACGGGTTCGAAAGGGGCACATACACCTGCACGCACCTCGCAGCTGCTCGCCCTTTTGCAGCCATGCCCGCCATTGTGCGTCGAGAAGTGGTTGAAGACCTCAAGGCAGTGGCAGGGGCAGATTCGTACAATTAGCTCCAATCATTCTAAGGGGCAACTCGACCCAGTTCAAATATTATGCCTATGCTTGCATGCATGCATGCACTTCAGGATTTCTACAAGGAATTCATTCAGGAGGACCCGACTTATGTGGCGAATCGACGAAGGGACTTGAGATGTAAGCTCGGCTTGATGAACCGGGACCCCCGTGCTCCTCGCTGAAGGTTTGAACGAACATTTGATCAAACATCATGTGCGTTCGTCTTAGCTTGCCTTTCACAGGGTTAGCCCAATGCCTCATCCAAGGTTCCAAAGTTCACAATGGTGAACCTTCACCCAGATGCTGGGAAAACCAAGAAAGTGCTGTGCCTGCGAATAAGTGAGAGAGAGGCGGGGCTTACTTGTACCGGGCCTTATCAAGAGCCCTCACCAACATGTGAACGCTTGAGCAGGCAGAAGACGAGGTGAACTTCCCGCTGATAGCGGGGCTGTTGGCGTCGTTTGCCCCGCACTTGCCGTACAAGCGCGAGATTGAGGCCGAAGCGTGTTGATGGAGATTTCAACCTGCAATCCTGTGATCCCTGCACTTGGCCAGGTGGCTCTCGAACACACTTCAAAGAGTCAAGGCTTGAACCCGCAGTTCGAGCAAGACTACGAGCACCAGGCGGTGCACTGGCGAATGTTGAGCCCCCTAGAGGTCCATACAACGTTGCATACCTGACTTCAATGCCTGTCTTGCCCTTCACCTTCATGGCCTTCGTGCTTAATTCCAGCCGCTCCTTTTCTATATTCAAACACTCCTATACCCCACCTTCATCGCCATCCACCCTATTGCCCTTGGCCCTCACCTTCATCCTGACCAGCTTTTTCTCAATTCTTCAGTCTCAACAACCCCTGCCTCCATCACCTTCAGCCTGACCCACCTTCAGCCTCCCTGGCCTTCACCTTCACTCATATATTTCTGTCAGCCTAAAAATGAATTCAGCTACGGGATGATTTTTGGATTCGATTGGTAGGGGAGCCTTTATCAACTATAAGGGCCCAGCATGCCTTGCAGGCCTGGGCAGTTGTTGAAGGAGGATTGCACAGGGCGCTTTGCGCCTACGTGGTACACCGCCTCCAGCGGAACAAGGGAACCAGGCGCCAAAAAAACAGTTGCGTTGCAACCAAGACACCGGTCTAGCCCCACGAGGCCCAACCGGGAGCGGATGGCAGAGCTGAAGTCGATCCTCACCAGCAAGCTCCAGGAGCCCGCGCAATCCTTAGATCGATGCGTTGATGGCGCTGCAAAGCGCTCACCGCAGGAGCATGGGTTGCTGCGGGATGATGGGAAAAGAATCTGCAAGACCAGATCCAAGAGCTCGCTCTCTTCGGGCCCTGAGGCGAAGGGATCCGGTGAAAAAACGTTGTTGGGAATATTAATATCATCATTGCTCCCTTCGCTTCTTGATCCTTTTTTCCCAAGCTTGAATGGATCAAATATGAATGAATTGAAGGATTCTTGCAATAGCTGTCGAGTCAGGAGACACACTTGTGTTTCCTTTTGGGTGTCATGTGTGCCTAAACCAACTCATAGTTCGAACAGCCTCCCTGTACAAATTAAAAATACTGTGTGCACATGCATGTCGTACACATGCACATATTATATACATGCGAGATGCAATATGCATTTGCATATGCTGGCATGGCATGATATATATATATATAAGTATCGTGCACGCAATGTGTAGATCCTCAAAACAGCTTGGCATGCATCTGAAGCAGGGGGTGTGTGCAAGACTG